TTGAGAGACAAGTCACGTGAAGGATCGGGTGTAGGCGTGTTACCATCAACCTTATGGTAGAGATTGATACTTTGAGTTGACCACGAAGGTCCTATCTACTGCTAGAGAGCGTGGTCTAAATACATGTAGGAAATGTCAACAATCTGGATCCTTTCTTAGGATCATGGTATTGGATCAGGCAGATGGATCAGTCCTGATCCATTGGTCCATGCGCAGGATCGTCCTTAGTCATGTGATCCTTGTGCCACTTTTCTGACGGCTGACTTCCTGCAACCTAACAACCTTTCTTCATATCGCAGAGCGGACGCGATACCCTCCTTGTCCTTGATCGCTCTGTAGGTTGGTTTGTCGGCTTGCTGCCTTCTACCCTTGTGGGCATTAATCCCCTGTAGGCTTTCTAGGTCTGTGGTCTTGGTTTCCCTACGGCCTTGCCTAGCACGTGTCTACTAGCACCTTGTAGGACGCGGCTCCTTGTGGTTACTAAGCCCTTGTAGTCTCCAGGCCCGTATGGGCCTTCTTCCCATAAGGTCCTTCCGACCCTGCGGGTTGATTTCCCTTGCGGTCCATAACATCGAATTAGCTATTTTATAATAGATAATACTACTAACAACAACACGACGGTAGCAGAGCTTGCTAAGAGGTTTAATTTCAACGCTAAACACGCCCGCCTACGTTATACTAGGCACATTATCAACCTTACTACCAAGGCTATATTATTTAGTAAGGACCTAGAGGCATTCGCAGATATATTACTACTAATAGTACCGACTACAGAGGAAATTAAAGAAGCAACTATACCCGCCTCTATAGCAATACTAGATGAAGAGGATAACTACACTACTAAGGATACGCAAGAGGAGGTACTCGCTTAGCGCGAAAGAGGCCCTATTAGCAAGTTATACAATATAGTTATATATATCAGCTATAGTCCGCAGAGAAGGATGCTATTCGAGGCTATCTAGTCTACTTACAGCGAATCAGAGCCTCTAAAATTAGTACTAAATAGAGGCATTCGTTAGAACAGCACCTACGAGATAATATCTCGGGGTATTTATCTTCGCGCGGTAATAGGTAACTACTACCTTAATACTAAGGACCTTGCCCAGGATATACTTTTAGTAGAGGACTAGCAAGAACTAATCGAACTTCGCGAACTACTACGCCCCCTAAAGCGTATAACAGAGACGCTCGAAGGCAGGCCTACACGCGGTAGAGACGGTACCCTCTAGGAGGTCCTTATACACATAGATCTACTACTAAAAGGACTTAAAGAAGCAAGGTATCGGTACGCAAAAAGGCACGACTCAGCACACTTATAAGCATCTATCAACCTCGCGTAGAAGGTATTAAATAAGTACTACACCTTATCAGATAACACGCCTACGTATAGAGTAGCTATACTACTTCATCCGAAGCTCCGCTAGGGGTTCTTCAACCGCAAGTAGAAGCTAGAGTAGGTAGAGGCCGCTAAAGATACAGTCATAGGCTTATAGGACGAGTATAAGGACCACACACCCCCGCTAACAGCGCCAGTACCTTAGGAGACGCAGCAAGCAGTACATATACCTCACTAGCACGACGAACAGTAGGCGGAGCAGATAGAGGCCTATATCTTCGATATAGATAAGGACCTACTTAACGAGCTACAACAGTACCTTCAGGAGCCCTCTCCGCAGGAGAGGACGAGTAAGCTAAACGTCCTTTAGTAGTAGGTTACTCGCCGAACACAGTACCCAACACTTAGCAGGATAGCACTCGACCTGCTAGCATACCCGGCTATAAGCAGTAACTACGAACGAACGTTCTCATCGGCCGGCAGGAGCATAAGTAAGCTCCGTTCACGCCTTTCAGAGGGTACTACAGAGGCAGTTACGTATTTAGGTAGCTAGTTGCCTACTAGGTAGGTAAGGACAGAGGAGTAGATAGCGGCAGGACCCTTAGAGGGCCCATAAACGCCTCAACACTATACCAAGATATCTCTATAGCCGCGGGAGACGTTACTAAGCAGTAGTAGGCCCGATTCGGCTAAAAATATTCAGTAAGTATACTAGAGGTCATATTCAGCTCACGAGATAGAACTAATACGCTAAATTTAGCAGGGAAAACGACTATTTACTTCCATCTACGGAGCAGCGGAGGACCGCTCTACAACGTACTAAACAGCCCGCAGTTACGCGCGCGAGCGCTAAACGAGCGAACGAGCGCTAGCGGGTACGCGTAGGCGAACGAGCGAGCACCCGCGGGCGCTCGCACGCGGGCACCAGTTGCTACACGTACTAAGCGGTCTTCGCAAGCTTCTCACTATGCCGCAGAGGGCCTGTTTTACACCTAAAATCGACCCTCTACGGCAGGCGGATAAGCGGCGGGGGACGCGGGGGTACGGGTATACAAGATATCGCATTTTTTAGGTACTTTTCAGCAGTTATTCGGTACATATTCGCTCAACACTATGCCAAGACTCGTAATATCAGTCGGACTAAACCGGACGACTTACTTCACCGTCTAAATAAACGAGGCGTTTATAGGGACGGCGGGCTATCCGTCCGGTCCGCCGTCCGGCTCCGACTAGACGATTTACCACCCTACCTATAATCCGAGAACGGTAAAATCACCGGCGTTAAGTACTCTACTACCGATAGTAAGAAATCTATAAATAGTCCGGTCGTTATCTTCGCGACCGGCGGCTTTACTAGCGATTCTAAAGGTATATTAAAGCAATACCGCCTAGACCTTACTAGTTTCCCGTCCACGAATAAAGCTTGGCCCGGCTCAATACCGCTTCTCACTACGCTAGGTACGTAGCTTCTAGATATAGAGCAGGTATAAGTATATCCTACTAGTTTTATAGATCCGAAAGAACTTAGAAAGCCGGTTAAATTCCTTACCGCAGAGGTATTAAGGGGTAAGGGAGGATTAATACTAAGAAGTAGAAAGAGGTTTATTAATAAGCTTTAGACAAGGTAGGTTGTCACCGACAAGATTATAGAGGAGAAAAACACCGAAGTAGATAGCATTAAGCAGTAGGATATTAAGATTATATTAGACGAGGGAGTATACTAGGCGGTAAAGAGCTATATTAACTTCTATCTTTAGAAGGGGCTTATAAGCAAAACGACTATCGGAGAACTTAGTAGCGACGAAACTAGGAAAGTTATTTAGTAGTTTACCGATGCTGCGACAGGAAAATCGGAAGACCTATTCGGTAGAAAGAGCTTCGGATACTAGGAGCTAAAGGATATTGCGCCAGACTCGGTCGTATATATCGGCTAAGTTACGCCTATAGTATATTTTACTATGGGCGGCGTTATTATAAACGAGCATGCGGAGGTTTTGGATAAGGAAGGAAAGCTAATCAAGGGACTTTTAGTAGCAGGCGAGGTAACGGGCGGGATCTATAGGGTAAACCGGCTTAGTAGTAGTTTATTATTAGAGTATGTAGTCTTTAGACGTATTACGGGCGAAAGAGTAGCATCGTCCCTAGGAAGCCTTGTATGAGACTATGTTGCTTGATGAAACGCCGCCTTCCGAGCAATGTAGGCATTTCGACTCACTACGCTAGTTAAATACTAGGCAGATTAATTACTTGTAGAATAAGTAGCCTCTTTTTTCAACACCCTACAGATTAGGAACACTCTCTTAGTAGGTACTCTCTTATCTCAGTATACCTGGATACGGACTTACCATGATCATCCGAAGAAATTGCGAGAGGTTATCCTGCGCATGCAAGAAAATTGCCGACCTGTCTTATTTTGAAAATTACTGCAGGTTTCCCGCGCGAAACATCGCCGATCTTGCTTGGATAATTATAAACCGGTGAAGTTTGCGCGTGCTTACCCGCGCCACATTATCACATGCCGCATACATAGGCCTTGTCCTCGCTAATCATAGACTGACATGGCTATTAGCCAGTGCAGGTTAACTCTCTTATCTACAGGCTCCATTCATACAAAATTGCCACCTCTTCGAAGCTTCTTCGACTTTGTGAGTCTATGTTCACAGCACTTTGCAGAGTTTGTAGCTTTAGACCTCAACTAACACAATATAGAATGTCAGACTTCTCACGTACGACTCTTAACGACTATAATCCTACACTAAACCTTACGCTGCCGCCACGATGGGCTCGTCTGCTGAGTTCAGCTTCGCAGAGTGTCACATCCAACGGAACGAAATCCGTCTGTTGACTCTCAAAGGCGGAAGTCTCGATGAAGACATCTCATGCAATCTCCGACGCCACCACTTTAGTCATGAAAACCTGAGAGCAACAAAGTTTATGGCTCTGTCTTACTGCTGGGGCGACCAGGATGACAAGGTCGCAATCCACGTCGAAGATAAGGTTTTCAAAGTCACACGCAACCTGAGGATGGCACTCCAACACTTGAGGGGCACAAACTCAGTAGTGTTGTGGGTTGATGCGATCTGTATCAACCAGGCCGACAGAGTCGAGAAGAACCATCAACTGGAAAAACTGAGAAGTATATACGAATGGGCGGAAGACGTTATTGCTTGGCTAGGACCTGCAGGTTCTGATAGCGACATGGCGATGATGTTCTTCGGTTTTCATGGCGAAAGGATTCGTATACTCGAGCGCTTGTTCACCCAAGAGATCCTACCAAAAGATTTCGAAAGACGGGGAAACCTGTCTCACTTTCTACCATTGTCCAGCAACCAACGCCAACACACTCTTCGCCAAAAATCCCAAGCTTTAGAGGACTTGGGAGAGTCCATGTTTGAACATGATCAACATCGACTCCGTCTATCAATCGAGGCGATTTTGGCACGCGAATACTGGGAAAGAATGTGGATAGTTCAAGAAGTTCTCAGCGCCAAAAGTCTCACACTAGCCTGTGGTCTATTGAAAGTACCGTATGATAACGCCACCACAGTCATCAATGCTTTCACGGCTAAGCGGAACCAAAAAATCAACGAGGGAATGAATGAACTACAGTCTCCAGCGCCAATACCCACGGGATACAGGAGCGACGACATAAGTGGACTAAAAAACTACCTGCCAATAAGGACCCCAACCCATGCCACTAATATAGGTCGCATGGCCCACGAGAGGCTTACAACTCCAGCTCAACTTGCGAAAGACAGGTCGTACCTGTCATCTCGTGATCCAATATGGCTGCTTGGTCTGCTAAAAAGCCTTCGTCATTTCAAATCGACAGTACCACAGGACAAAATCTTGAGCCTGGTTGGCCTACTAGAGCCTGACCTGGCACGAAAATTCCGTCTAGACTCTGGGCTTAGCCTACTTGAGGTTTCCATAGACCTCTGTCGGCTTTGTATTACTCCGCCTGGTCCCTATTCCTCAAAACGGTCAATAAACATTCTTTGTCTAAGTGAACCTCGCCAAGGGAGCGGTTTCCCTTCCTGGATGCCAGACCTTTCGCGGTACAGTGGAATAACGACATGGCCTGATGCTCGTATAGATGGAATGGAATGGTTGGACCAGAACTGCAAACCTTGCCCATTAATATCTCTAGATAACACTATACTAGCCGTCTCAGGGCTGTCCCGTACGGAAATTGTCGGCATTACAGAGCAGGATGACGATCCTTTTACTCGTGATGACTTAGGTCTTCTCACTCGGATTCGAAAATTCGAAGGCCTTTTGAGAACAGTGCTACCAGGACAATATCCGGATAAACAATTCTGGTCGACTATTATCTTGGGAAGATACGAACCAACTGGAGTCTCACGGGAGCGTCTTATCGATGTTATATATCCCTCCAGCAACGATAAGCCTTCCACGTTTCTCAACATTTTTCGGGAAGAATCATACGGTCGACGGTTCGCTACTTTCGGCTCCAATGTATACGGAATGGTACCAGCCGCCGCTAAGAAGGGAGATAGACTCTGTGTTCTAAAGAAATGTGATTTCCCAGTCATCCTGCGTTACCTTGGGTATGAGATGTATGAATTCATTGGTCCATGTTTCATTTCTGGTTCGCCTCACGCTTGGGGAAAGTTATCGGTGCGAGTTTTTTGTATTCGCTAGTATTAAAGCCGTGCGGGCTAGGAGTTGAAAGACCTTCATCTTTGACGCTGTACGGGCAGCAAGCGGGGTGGAAGACCACACGGGGTGGCGGGTCAAGTTCCCGAAGAACCGACTGTATGGCAGTTTTGTCGGATAGGTCGCATTGGTGGTAATGTACGCCTTGAACTCTGTTGCGAGAGATGTTCAGGTCAAGAACAGCCACGGAGCATTCGGGCTCGGAGTCGAGGATGCCTGACAGAAGATGGTGACCAAAGAAGCCGCATCCTCCTGTCACGAGAACGGATTGGAGAGGCGCATTGGACTCCATGTTTTCGGGATTCGAACTTTGAGGTAATGAAAGATAGACTTCAAAGACCACCGGATGCAGGAAGTGTTTCCCAGGCGGCAATATTTTTTCATGATTGAAGCGAACGGGCGGCGCTGCAACCAGACGCTTGATTGCGGCGCGGTAGCTTCGTCGTTGCAACAAGTACCCCGGCACGCAGCAGAAGCGAGCAGGCATCTTAAATTGGTGTTGAGTGTGCTTGATCGTGAGTGATTGCAGTAGCGCGTATCAAATAAACAAGAAACGATCTTCCCCATCTTTCGTGCAGAAGAGGTAACTAGTCCGCAAACAAGAAGAGTTAAGACCTACACCAATATTGAGTGACAAACACGCTTAGGCCGCAGATGACGCAAGCTTTATTGAAGCAATCATACGTCTACCTAGTCTTGTTGCCGCATTTTTCTGCCAATCACAGTACGTGGGAAGACTCACACTTCTTATGCGGGTGTCCCGATACCCTTGCTGTGCCGCCTCTTCTTTTGGAGCGCGGTATACAGGGACCCAGGACCCACCTAGATGTTCCATCTACGAAAGAGATCCGATGGCACAGCAGCGGGGATATCGTCCGGTACGGCGAAGTGAGTTGTACGGCGAAGAGAATTATTTTTCGCGCGTAGAATTGTGTTGATCCCAAGACTAGATTTTGATTAACAACATGTAACCTTTCGATTGTAATAATAACTAGTCTTAGAAATGAGAAAGGAGGAAGAAAGAGAGATGCAGGCTTTTCTGGATTTTATGTTCGGGTCAGGTTGGCTACGTTTGGTAGTGTGAAGCACTGTATACATTACGGAGTACTGCTTCGGCGTCGAACCGCACAACGCAGCACAAAGAACGACACCACTACAACCATCAAGCGAAAGGAAGGAGCAAAGGTACACACAAACATCTATGTCAAGTACGCGTCCTCTCGAAAAGCTGTTTGCCTGGCTGGCTGGTAGATATGGTACAGCACTTAAGCACTGCACAATAGCGACGACACTATCCATTCCGTCCACCCACCATTTTACCATAGCCAACAAGGCATATCTGCAATCATATGAAAAACAACAATACGCTTCATCAGCCTCCGCCACAAGAACTTCCCTCAGAGTTTCCTTTGCCTTTAAGCAATCAGCGGAAGAACAAACAATAGATTGGAAGAGGGAGGAAGTATTCATCTAATCAATCTACATACCGTACCCCGAAGAATGCGCCTCTCTATGCAGGCAACGGGAAGGAGGAGCGAGCGAGCGAGTACCGCAGCACTCTCACCAAGCCTTTAATAAGCCCTCGAACCAAGCCCAAACCCACACCCAAAAAAAAAAAAAAAGCCGTACCAGAATAAGACCAAATGACCAACCAACCCAGCCTCCTCAACCAATTCTCTCCTCCCATTTTATCCCATTAACACCCCGTGTCAATCTCTACGCAACCTCCTGCACCATAGCCCCATTCCCCAAGCCCGCCTTCCCCCTAACGCCGCGACCCTCAAACACCCGCCCCGCAGGCCCAGCAAGCCACTCGACAGGCGCAGCGGCACGGGAGCCACGCGCCGTCTGGACGTAGCGCACGAACAGGGGCGAGGCGCGAGGCGCATCGGGGTCGGGTTCGGCGTCGGGGTTGTCGGTCGCGAACGCGGAGGCGGAGGCAGCGGCGGGCTCGTCGGCGGCGGCATCGGCGTCGACTTCTTTGCGGCCGCGGCGCTTGGGGGCTTGCTTTTTGAGGAGCCGGTTTATCGTGTCCATCTGGAGGCGCTGGGGGTTATCATTGCGGTTCTTCTCTTAGGTAGGAGGGTTGTGACGTGATTGACGTAACGTACCTTTTCCTCTTCGTTGCGCTTCTCGCTCAGGTTCTTTCGCCGCCGAGCCATTTCTGCCCGGCGCATGGCGTGCTCTTCGGCTGTGAGGTGCTTCTTCTTCTGTGCCTCGTTCGACAGCGAGATCAGCTCGCCCTCGTACGTCTCGAACGCGGCACGCTGCCGGCGCGTCAGCTTGCTGAGGTCAGGCGTGCCACCGGGGCTGCCAGTCATGGGGGTGTCGTCGTCGCCAGCACTGTCGAGCTCCTCTTCCTCCTCCTCGTCATCCATGTCGTCGGCGTCCACATCGTCATCGCCGCCCAAGTCCTCCTCGTCCGATGACGAGGACGGTTGTGACTCCAGCTCCGAGAGCTCCTCATCCTCGCTCGCGTCATCGGCAATGGCCATTTCTTTGGCTTCCACGCTCGGCACTTCCTTCTCCGCGGCTTTGGCGCTGGCCTTGGCGTTCCCGCGCGACTTGACGGCCGGCGGGGGTGGTGCAGGCAGCGCGTCATCCATGTCTACATCGTCGTCGCCCTCGGCATCCTCATCATCGGGAGGCGGTGCCCTCCTGCCTACAATGATCTCATCGTCGTCGTCGCCCTCTGCATCCTCCTCGTCGTAGTCGGCCTCATCGTCGTCGTCCTCTTCGTCCTCTTCGTCATCCTCGCTCGTCTCGTCGACTATGGCCTTCTTGCCGCGGGCCTGGCGGTGGACGGCATGGCGGCGGCTAGTGGCCTCGCGCAGCTTGCTCGGGGCAGCTTTGACGGTCAGGTGGATCGACTGGCGCGTTTCTTCGGGCGAGGTGCGCTCGATGGTGGCGGAGGTGGGGGCTGCGGCGGCGCGACGCGGGCGCGTGGAGCTGGAGGTGGGCGCGCGGTCAGCGTTGATTGCGGCGCGGGAGCGCAGGCGGCGGGCGGCCATGGCAGCGGGAAAGAGTGTGGGGAGAGAGAGAGCAGAGAGAAGAGAGGAGAGGGGGGAGGGGAGGGTGGGAGGTTGTACGGGCGACAGTGGAATGGATGGAGAATGGATCGCTAAGCGCAGTCGCACACGCACCTGGCCCAATGGTCGTCGTCGCTGCTCAGCCTCCGTTGGCGTTTGGCGGGCCGAGCCATGATGCGGTTCGTTTATGCAAATCAATGTGACGAGGAGTGAGAGCTGGGGAAGGGCATTTCTGAGTAAGCACGGCCAAACTCTCGCTGTAATTCATGCCGAGGTCCATAGCTTCCATTCATTCACACTCTCACACTCTCAACTATCACCACCACTACAATGGCAGCCCCCAAATCCACCGGTATTCCCGCCTGGCAACAGCAACAGCAGCCACAGCCCAAGCCGCCTACCGAAGACGACGACTCCGACTCCTCCACTTCCACCTCCACCTCTTCCGACGCCAATTCCTCCGTCGACACCCCCACCACCACCTCCGCCGATAATGCCTCCGACGATGACATTGATATTAACTCCCGCGCCTCCCTTCGCCAACAGGCCCTCCGCTTCCTGCAAGACCAATCCATCCGCGACGCCTCCATCGAGCGCAAACGCACCTTTTTGCGTTCCAAAGGCCTCTCCGACGCCGATATCCGCGACCTGCTACCCGAGCCCGGCGATGAGAATACACCACCTGCCACTCCGTCCACCACGAGCACACCCAGCTTCACGAACACACCATCAAGCACAGACACATCCACACCCGCTCCAATGCAGTCATACAAACAACAATCTCCCGCGCGCGACGTCCCGCCCATAATAACCTACCCCGAGTTCCTCACTCAACCCACCGCTCCGCCGCCACTTATCACGCCCACGCGCGTCGCACACGCCTTGACCGCCGCGGCCGGTCTCGCCGCCACACTCTACGGAATGTCCTCCCTCCTCGTGCAGCCCATGGCCGCCGCCCTCTCCGCCGCCCGCCACGACCAATACGCGCACGCAAACTCCCGCCTCGAAGAGCTGAACAACAAGCTCGCCGGACTCGTCTCCGCCGTGCCCGCCGCGGCGCGACCCGGCACCAAGCACAGCAACACCTCCTCCAACAAAGACACCGACAGCGACGACGCCTCCAGCACCGTCTCCGACCCCACAGAACTCTACTCGCGCGACCGGGGGACGCAGACGTCACCACCACCCTCTCCGCCCCTCCCTCCCACAATCTCGCCCACGCCCGTCCCAGGCGGCACACCCGCAGACCCGACGATGACGCACTCCTCGCTGCTCAGCGCCCTCTCGCGACGCGTAGCAGACACGGCTGCCCTGGCCGCAGCATCGACGGACCGCGCCGCCAAGCCGCTCGAGCCAGTGCGCGACCTTACATCATACCTGCACGAGCTGCAAGCGGCAGGGCTGGCGTGGGGCAGCGATTTCTACAGCGTGCGGTACGCTGCTGTGCGGGGTGCGGGCGGAGGAGAGGACGACGCGGTCGAGGCGGTGCGGAAGGACATCCGCGGCGTCAAGGGCGTGTTGCTGGCGGCGCGGAACTTTCCGAGCGCGCCGGCCGCGGCGGCTGCTGCTGCTGCGGGGAGAGGGGAGAGGTAGGGAGTGGGTGGGTCGGAGGGACCTAGGGGGTGGGCGAACGTATTGGTGCGGGAGGAGCGAGCGGATGTGTCGGATGATGAGGTGTTGGTTGTGGAGGAGGAGGATGAGGTACCCCCGAAGCCGGAGCAGCGGCCGCGGCCGGAGCAGCAGCTTGGTTTGGGGTTGGGGTTGGTGCCTGGGAAGGGGAGGGGACGGGGCTTGCTGCCGGGGTTTGAGGCGGGGTCGTTTTTTGGTGGGGTCCGGGGAGGGGTATTTGGTGGTGTTGGTAGAGGGAGGGGTAGAGGTCTGGGCAGAGGATGGATATAGGTAGACGTGTAGTTGTTTTTAATGTTTTAATGATGGATGCGGCGTTTGTTAGTTGGGTGGGGGGAAGGGGTACTGTATCTAGGCTGGATGGGGATGGGATGGGATGGGGTGGGGTAGTGTATTTGGTCTGGGAATTGAACTTTCGCTGTCTTCACCTTACTTCGTGGGAAGAGTGTGTGTGTGTGTGTGTTCCCCCTGTCTAGTGTACTGGCTTTACCAGGCTTACAAGGTAGTTTCTTGACCTACGTACTTATTTAAAATATTAAAGTTTAGTCTTGTACCTATTAATGTTCTTCAGTTCTACTCCCTCTCTTATACGGGCGTTTAGTTATGAGACTCATTGCGGTTTAAGAATAGAAAACTCCTATAGGATAGAACCTCTATATAACTTAACTCGACGTGTTTTAGTTATAAGGTAGTATTATTTTCCTCAATTTACGCCAGTATTCATTATAACCATAGCCATCATCATTATCATCGTCATCATCATCGCCGGCATCGTCTCTTTCTCCAGTATTTTCACCATCTTCGTAATCTTAACTTCTTCGGTAGCCATAATAGACTACTGCGCTATTAATAATAGGCGCCAGGTAACTATATAAAGGTAAAAAGATACTGTATAAGAGTATTTAATAAAGGATGAAGACTTAAATGCTTATAAATACTAATCTGTAGTGGTATGAAAATAAAAAATTCCAATTGTATAAAGGTGTTTTTAAAGATGTAAATATATAAATCTTTAAGAGGCTTCGCATCCGACCTAGTAGCCTACAACTGTATAATGACTAACTTGGCTTGCCACGACGTGAAACCCTAGACAAACAAGGATCCACTGTAGCAGTTTGCCTAAAAACCTACGTCGCACCAATCAGCAGGTCAAAGCACCTTTCGGCCCCCAACCGGTCTTGCCTCTGAGATTTACATAAAAACTCCAGACACCCCACCCGGTTTTTTGAATCCCAAGACTGCAGATCATGGCCCTCGAGCGCGCCACACCCAAAGATCCGGCAATGGCAGTGAACCAACACGAGGTGGGATTGCGGCCGGAAACACCCCAGGAGAGCGACCCGGATCAGGTATCTTTGTTAAACCAGCCCGAGGAATCGAATGATCACAAGCCTCAAATGTCTGGGCAATCAGCGGAGATCCAACACCGAGAAGCCGACCTTGATACATCGTCGAAAAAGCCTGGACTTGTTTCTTTGGTTTGTACAAGATGGTTGATGGAGGTACTGGCCTGTGTCATCGCCCTACTTGCTCTTGTTGCAATCATCATAACTCTAGGATTGCACGACGGACGTCCTATTCCAGATTGGCCTTTCCGGATATCAGTAAACGCTGTCGTGTCTATATTTTCTGTCATACTCAAAGGCACAATGTTGGTGCCGGTTGCCGAAGGTATTTTTCCGTATTTGGAGCTGTGAGTTATATGCTAATGGTCTTTGACGAGCAGCCGTCAGTCAGCTAAAGTGGTCGTGGTATAAAGAGCCGCGTCCTCTCGATGACTTTGCGAGGTTCGACGATGCAAGTCGCGGTATCTGGGGCTCGGCCCGGCTCATCACCAGACTGCGCGGGATGCACCTTGCGTCGCTTGGAGCAGCAATTATGATCCTAGCAGCTGCGAGCGACCCGTTCATTCAGCAGGTCATAAAATATCAGCCTTGCTCGCAGAAAGTCAGTAGTGCGCAGGCCACGATGCCACGCACAAACAACTACACAGCCTATGGCGCTCATGTTGGCGCCGGATTGTACACCATAGACGCACCTATGGAAAAAGCGCTCTACAAGGGATTTTACGACTCTTTCAGTCCAGTGACACCTACATGCACCACCGGAAACTGTACTTTCCCCAATTACAGAACAGTTGGGGTTTGTAGTATGTGTAGAGACATCAGTGACACGATCAACACCACCTGCAAAGCAAGCAAGTCCGTTGAAGGGGGTCAAGCTTGCTCGTGGGAACTGTCATCCAGCCTCCGTCTTAACAACTCCGCCCCCGTTACTCTGGTCGCGGAGAGCAGGCATGCTATGACCAACCCCAGGGGCTTAACCTCGAGCCGGATACTCACCTTTACGAAAATACTCGACTACAACACGGAGCACCTAGGAAACCTTTTACAGGGGGAATCCGGGCTCCTAGCAGCAGAATGCTTCCTCATTCCCTGCGTGCGAACATACAGCGCCGAGGTTGTCCAAGGCCAGACGTCCGAGAAACTCCTGGCAATTGAGGAAATGGCCAAGATGAACACTAGCACAACCCCCTACAACAGCTTCTTCCGCACTCCCATGCCTTGCATAAAAGATAATCAACTCTACAATGCCACGGCATTCACCGAACGCAACGAAACGAATTGGATACCCGTAAAAGGCCTCTTGGAGAACAACCAGACAGCCTACCTCCCGAAAGAATGCATATTTATCTGGGAAAACTCCATCGGAATACTAGAAAACCTGCCCGAGTACCTCACCGGCTACGTCCAAAGCGCTCCCATCATCGACAAAGCGGACCCTCAGTGGATGAAAGAGCTCTTCAACAAAGACAACGCCTCGCTCGAAACCATCAACGCGACGTGGTCTGCCATTGCCGAGTCCATGACGATCCACATCCGGCAGAACGGCGACGAGAGTAACAGCGCGCCCGCGGCTGGCATCGCATCCCATACCAACACGTGCATCAACGTACGATGGCCGTGGCTGGCTTACCCGGCTGCACTGCTCGTGCTGACGTTTTCGTTCTTGCTAGCGACCATCCTGCACAGTTTTGGTCATGTGGGTCATCGGATTTGGAAGGCGTCGCAGCTGGCTGTGCTTTTCCATGGCTTGGATGATGCTTTGAGAGAAAAGTGCGGCGTTGTAGACCGTACTGACCAGATGGCGTCTACTGCAAGGGGGTTGCATGTCCAGGTTAAGCATGAAGAGACTGGAATGAGGTTTGTAGAAGCTTTTCCGCGTGAAAAGTGAGTGTAGGTGGCTTTTAGCCATACTGTACCGAACGATAGATGCGTCTGTTTTTTATGGTTGCTTACAATGACGAACCCCCGAAGCGCTTGATAAAGCCGACTTGAGGTGTTAGCGTATCGTCTCCAGTCCTGTTGCCACCGCGGTCTCTTCCTCAATGCTATCTTCCTCGTGCTGCCAGCCTTCTCTCTCGTCTTTTTTCATCCTCACAAATCCCAAGTCTAGCGCAAGAGCAAGCAGTGCAATCCCGCAACCAAACCAAAGAGCGGCTCGGTATCCAGCAACAACACTCCCTTTTTCTTTGTCAATCTGCATCTCGATGGTTCCAGCGAATCCGAGACCGATGCTGTTTCCGTATAAGAGAAGTACGCCAATGAGCGATGCGGCGACTCCCTGTTGAGCCCTGCGTACGGCGTTGCTGGCAATTATCTGCGCCGCCGTGAAGACCAAGTCTGGGCAGAAGGACATCAATATCGTTGCGGGAAAGACTTGAGCCCAGTAGCTTTGCTTTACTGGCATCGTGGCGATAAGGATATTGGACACTGCTACTGAAACCAAACCAATGGCAAGGATATACTGGGCAGGCATGCGAGGGATCAGCCACGAGGCCCACCAAGCGGCGAATACACCGAAGAAGAGGAAAGGAGTCTATTGTGTTTTTCAGTTTTGTTTCAAGCCTGAAAGGAGCTCATGGAGCCTTACCCACGCGGCGGCAAAGTGAAGCACACTCCAACCGCGAGTCAGCTGGATCCAGGCGACCATGTACCACAGCATGATCTGTCGCACCTTGTCAGTGTGTTGGTGGAGAAAATTCGCATCATCCACTCACTCCAAAAGACATGAAGGACATCAAAACAGCCAACATAAGCGGAAGAATAGATGGCGCTTTCCATATGCTAAGCGGCATAATTGGAGACGCTGAATGGCGCTCCCATAGCGCGAATAGCGCGAGTACAAAGACACTTGCAACTAGGATGGCAATCTGATAGGGATTTGACCAACCCGCTGCTGGGGCTTGACTACTCGCCAGTTCCAATTAGTCATGTACAGTGAATTGAGGGCAGGTGTCTGTTTGGTTTCACTTACTTCCAAGTAAAGTTGAAAAGTACAAGACCGGCGGTCCCAAGACCAGCACCAATCCAGTCAATTTTACCCTGCGCGTCGAAGGGCTTCTCTGGTGGTAGCATCTTCCATAAGATGGCAAATGTGACCGACGCGAAAATGCCCCTGGTAGCATTAGAAATAAAGGATGATTTTAGAAAGGGAAAAAAACCCTTCGTACTCACTGGAAGATAAAAAGACCCCACCAAGGCGTGAACTGCGTGAATACACCTGCCAGGACTGCTCCGAGATATCCTCCCATCGGAGCCGCAGCACCAAAGATACCGAGGCAAAAGTTGCGCATCTTCCCTGGTGGAAAAGTGGTGCTGATCATGGCCACAGCATTTGGTAATATCAGCGCGCCGCCCATGCCAGTAAAGCCGCGCGCTATGTTGAACGACAAAAAAGACCTGCAGGCGACGTTCAGGAACGACCACAGGGAAAACCACACCCCACCGAGAAGCAGCATGTTCTTGTGCCCGTAGACAGAGCCAAGTCTGCCACTGACAAGAACAAATGTGCCCTGTGTGAGACTGCCATTACGTGCAGTATGGCAAGTTAGCGGCCAAATTTTTCTCTGCGAGGGTATTCCATGGGCACAAGCATCTTACGGATAGCTAGCTGCAACCCAGTTCGATAGCCTGACATCTCGTACGCCGAGTTCTTTTCCGATTTCGAAGCCTCCGGCAACGGTTGAACCGTTTGAGATCATCTACGAGCGTAAGACATCATCGGATATTGGAAGCAGACGTTAAAAGACAACAGGCTAGGTCAAACGGAGACCTACTTGCACCAGGTTTGCCAGCAATACAAATACTGCTATAGCTACACGACGCTTAGGACTCGCCGGCATGACGACTGTTGCCGCGGCTGGCGTAGGCGGCGGTGCTTGTGCAACTTGCACAGTCTCGGTGATGGTCGACATTGTACTGTCAAGGCTGAGAAAATTCAATTGATGTTTGTTCTTTGATATGAAAGAATTGAGAGTGTAATGTGAAGTCGGCGAGGCGTGTGGCGCGACGGGTGACGTACCACCTACTAAACCAACTTCATAGGAGTGCGGGGTAGGTAAGGGAGCATTTGTATTGGTCCCCGACGCTGGGCGTACAAGGGTGTTTATCTGCACCACCAACATTGAATAATAACTTTCCGAGAACATGTTTAATCTCACTACTTACTAGATTCTTCTTAAATACATTTGATTGACACTGATTGATATGTATTTGAACTTCGCGAAGTATTATGGATTGCAGAAGAGTTCCCCAACATAATCTTGCTATGTATTTTTAGAGCGTGAGCTTTTGGGACAAGGCAATTGTGCCTTTATTTGTGGATAGAAGCTGTCAGCGTAAAGAACGGACATACTGACTAACTACACGGTCAGTACGTGATCCAGAATGCTGCTAGATAGGCTAATAGATAGACTGATATAGTTATATCTTAAGACACATCCTAAGCGGATCTTTGCCAAACAATTCCCTAAATGTCTTCCATACTCGTGATGAAGGGCATGGGCACGGTGCAAGATTAATTGAGCTTACCATTCTGTCCCGCCTTTGTTTCGTATCCTCCATCGTGATGACTAATGTTTCTCGTCACTGAAAACAGTTACTATCAAGGGACAAGACAAGGAACCGTTAGCAATGGAAAGACTTCAGACAGGATAGTCCCTAGGAGTGGTGGGAGGTCACAGCCCCTCGGGACATTGTGATTGAAGTTCGGCCTCCACAGATTTTCCCACCACAGTTGGAATGTGCTGTACAACGGGCAGATCCCAACAAAACGTGCTGCTTTGCCAATAACAATCATACCAGCGGACCAAATTTCGGTCAGGTATGAAGTAAGTCGGGCGGTCAACAACCATTCGTCCATGTTTCGTCCGGGTAGGATTCGTCCGTGAGGCCGTCGTGAGGATGCAAACTAATTATTCATGTGCGCTAGGTAACTAACCGATGCGACGCGACAGGGTCTCTCGGCGGTCGGTACCTGTCGGACACGACGACTCCCCCCTCATGGGATCGCGCAAGCATAAAGGCCACAGCTCCACCATGCTCTCTCCACCCACAAATCTCCAATTACCAGACCGCACACCATGGCCGACACGAGGAAGTCCGTCTTGATCACTGGGTAAGATGTGCCGCATGGAATCACCTCCGCCCTCGCTCAGAGCTTCCGTTCGACTGACGTCAATCCGCCGTGCAACAGCTGCAGCTCTGGCATCGGCCACAGCTTGGCCAAAGAATTCCACAGCAAAGGTTTGCTCGACTGCCCGGCCACCCTCCATACCCACCATTAAATTCTCATCCTGACACCTCGCCACAGGCCTCCGCGTCTTCGCCAGCGCACGCCGCGCCGAATCGCTCGCCGACCTCGCCGCAATAGGCATTGATACCGTGTCGCTCGAGGTCGACAAGCTGGACAGCATCCGCTCGGTTAAGCGTGAGATTGAGGAGCTGACGGGCGGCAAGCTCGACTACCTCGTCAACAATGCTGGCTGTAACTACACCGTGCCAGCGCTCGACATTGAACTAGAGGAGGTCCAGAAGATCTTCGAGGTCAATGTCTATGCTGTCATGCGCATGTGCCAGGAGTTTGCGCCACTCATAATTGAGGCCAAGGGAACAATTGTGCAAATTGGAAGCCTGGCGGGTATTATGTGAGTGTGGAACAAAGTCTTTTGAGGCACCTAGGCTAACGTTGCTCAATCCAGGCCGTACGTCTTCGGAAGTGAGTGTCTCCGGCCCTTGTATAACCGCTTTTCAGACCGCTGATCGTCCTTAGGTGTGTACAACGCGACGAAAGCGGCTCTGCACGCCTACAGCAACACCCTTCGCGTCGAATTGGCCCCGTTCGGTGTCAAGGTCGTTACCATCATCACTGGCGGCGTCCAGTCCAACATTGCACGCAACGAACGCCAGCTTCCCGAAGATTCATACTATATCCCCGTCAGCCAGGAATACCAGAGGCGTCTGAAGCACAGCCAGGAGGGTGCCATGCCCAACGAAGCCTACGCGAAGAGCGTCGTTTCCAAGGTGTTGAAGTCAAGCCCGCCAAAGTGGGTCTGGGAGGGCAAGTTGTCGTGGGTTGTTTGGTTTGCGACCTCGTACCTCCCCGCAAGTGTCATGGTAAGTGCAGGCGGATTGTTATGCGGCGAGAGCAACATGCTAATGACTATGCTAGGATTCCGTCTTCTGGCGCATGTTCAACCTCTGGAAGTTGGTTGGCACGACGGACTCTAAGAAGACTCTGTGAGCTCCTTGCGGGTTCGGGTCGGTGTGTACGATCTCTAGCTGAACCGTGAGTCCGTTGTTCAAGACTTCACCGTATGTACATGACGTCCGCGAGGACATACTCATTTTAGCTGCGCAAATAAGACTATTCCCCTAGATTTCATCACTCTCAACCCCTCTTCGCTTGACATTACGTACTTGGGCGCCACAAGGGGTGCATGTGTTCCACGGAACGGGCGTCAGCAGGGCAAACGAGAGTGTCGGCACGGGAAGAAGAGGCCCGGTTTCTCGTAACTCGGATGAGGGGGTCCGGATTGGGACGGACCGGGCGGTGCGGAACTAGAGGGGATGACGGGCGGACAGGGCCGAGACGCGCCCCCCGCAGTGGCGGTGGTCTATAAGGGGGATGGTCACTGATGTTGAGTTGTATAGGCACGTCTTTGACCGGTGGTCCAGCGGTGGGAGATGCAGAGGCCGTTCCATGACGCAGTGCATGACTCGCGCGCAGGGGGATGGACGACAGCTGAGATACCCCACAAACCGCGTCAATTGCTGATCCAAGCTCACTGCGGGGGAGGAAAGAGGTGAACAGGGTGCTCTTGTGACTGCGCCCGAGGGGAGTAAAGTATAGTAGTCCACGCCTTGCCGTCCCGCCACTACCCGGCGCCTTGAGCAGCCGTGGCTAAGCGCAAACATCGCATGCGGCAGGGTACGTCCAGGTGACACAGTCTCGCGAGCACTGATTCGTCGTAAACAGAGAGCAAACGACGCGTCGACTACAAAAAGCCGCGTCGAGGCGGTTTAGAGATCGATGATACCATCTTGACCCTTCTTACTGCAGCTTGCCTGTCAGGGAAAGCACGCCTGCCATTGGGGCTTACTCACTTCTTATCTCGGGCGGCGACGTCCTGTCTTATGCCGAACACGATCTCACGACCAGAGGTGTGCTAACCTAAGCGGTCTCTCTGTTTGCTGAGAGGAAAGCACCTTCCCGCGTCTCCGAAGTGGCCCAGCGAGGACCAACAGCAAGCACCTCTTAAAGCCTTCACTCAGCCGCACTCCGCACTCACACTCCCAACTTCCCCTCCAAAACTCACTCACCATGACCGGCACCACTGGCATCAAGGCCAAGCGCGCCCACGCCGACGCTACCCGCCATACCTGGTCTCGCCTCCAGAACGACGCTCACCCGGGCGAGTCGGCTATCCAGCTCGACGGCGAGAGCCTCACCCTCGCTCAGCTCGTGGCCGTGGCCAAATACGGCGCGGTGCCAACCTTGTCGCCGGATCCGGCCATTGTCCAAAGAATCGAGACTAGCGTTCAGATGCTTGCGAAACACTTGAATCGCGGTGACCTTGTGTACGGTTAGTGATTTCATTTTTCCGTTTATGATTTCTTTGCCGTGTAACTGCCTACTTTACTGCCGTCGGAGTCACCGGTGGGCTGACAAACATGGAAAGGTGTCAACACTGGCTATGGCGGAAGCGCAGACACTCGTACCGACAATCTCGCGTTCCTTCAGCAGGCATTGGTCCAACATCAGCAGAGCGGCATACTCACCCGAAATGATACGGGCAAGCCTTATCTTCCCGAGTCGAGTCCTGGCTCTCTTCAGCACTCTGATGACTTTGGCACTCTTTCGATGCCCAGTTCTTGGGTCAAGGGCATAATGCTCCAGCGCGTCAATAGCCTCATCAGAGGACACTCGGCCGTCTCATTACCGGTCATTGAGCTGATCATGACATTCCTACAACACGACATTACCCCGGTCATCCCTCTGCGCGGAAGCATCTCGGCATCTGGAGATTTGTCGCCCATGTCCTACGTCGCCGGCGCCCTGGAAGGCAACTCTGACATATTCGTCCGCGTCGGCAATCCCCCTGTCATCAAGACGGCGAAGGAAGCGCTTCAGTCGTTCGGTTTCCGGCCAGTGGTGCTTGCGGCCAAGGAGGGCCTTGGTCTCTTGAACGGAACGGCCGCTTCAGCGTCGGCTGCTTCGCTGGCCATTCACGAAACCAACCAGTTGGCCGTGTTAACCCAGGCTCTGACCGCCATGGGCGTCGAAGCTCTTTGCGGAACTGCAGAGTCGTTTAGTCCGTTCATTGCAAAGATCAGACCTCACAGGGGCCAGGTTGAAGTGGCTGCGAATATTCTTGGTTTTCTCCGTGGAGCGCGTCTGGCGCACGGATTGGAAGGACCCAAGGACATGCATGTGTCGGGGCTTTGCCAGGACCGTTATCCCTTACGTACATCTTCACAGTGGATTGGGCCTCAGCTGGAAGACCTCATGCTCGCCACGGAGCAGGTCAGCACGGAGCTCAACTCGACGACGGACAACCCGCTCATGGACGTGGCGAGCGATCTCATTCACCACGGCGGCAACTTCCAGGCCGCTTCTATCACGTCGGCGATGGAGAAGACGCGCACGGCCATCCAGATGTTCGGCAAGCTCATCTTCGCGCAGGGCACCGAGCTGATCAACAGCATGCTCAACAAGGGGCTGCCGCCCAACCTGGCGGCCGACGACCCCAGCCTCAGCTTCACGTGCAAGGGCATCGACATCAACCTGGCGGCGTACATGTCGGAGCTGGGCTACCTGGCCAACCCGGTCAGCAGCCACGTGCAGAGCGCGGAGCTGCACAACCAGGCGGTCAACTCGCTGGCGCTGATATCGGCGCGCTACACGCTGCAGGCGGTCGAGGTGCTGAACCAGATGTGCGCCGCGTATTTGTTTTGTTTGTGCCAAGCGCTGGACCTGCGCGTGCTGCAGGCCGAGTTCTTGGCCCAAGCGTACAAGGAGGTGCGGCAGGCGACGGTGAACCAGCTGGGTGTGCAGACGCCCGAGTCGATGGAGTACGACAACGACGGCGAGGCCAATGCCAGCGGCGCGCCTCCAGCTGTCGCCTCGGTCGAAGCAAATCTGCACGAGGAGTATGCGCCGCGCCGCGCCGGCCGCGTCTTCGACGACGTGTGGGCGGTGCTGAAGAACACGTGGAACGCGTCGGGGTCGATGGATCTGGACGCGCGGGCCGAGAAGACGGCGCAAGCCGCGGCGCAGGCCTTTTACTGGAGTCTGCAGGGGCGGGTCGAGTACGCCGACGTGTGCGCCTACGCCGCCACGGTGCGCGGCATCCTGGCCTCGGGGTACGCGGGCACGCGCGCGCGCCTGTTCGCCGAGCACCGGGCTGTCACGCCGCTGTATCTGGGCCAGGCCAGCCGGAAGCTCTATCTTGCCGTCCGTGGCGAGCTGGGCGTGCCGTTCCATCGGGGCTTGGTCGAGTACCCGGGGCAGCCGGTGTGGGAAGACATGCCGACGAAGCCGTCATTGCCGGCGGACCAGCGTCGCACGATTGGGGGGCAGGTGAGCGTGATTTATGAGGGTTTGAGGGATGGGGTACTGCATCGGGCTGTTATGGAGGCTTTGGGGGAGAATGAGGGTGCTGGGGTTGCGAAGGAGGGGGCGGGGTTGTAGGGGAAGGGAGGTTTGGTTTGATGGATGGATGGGGGAGTTGCGGGCAGGTAGTAGGGTAGGTCGGCTCGGTTGCATGCACACTCTGGGTAGGACCTAGGTGGAGTTTGATGGGATGGGATGGATGAGTTTGAGCTGGGCGAGTGAAGGAAGGAAGGAAGGTATTGATTGCAGTGCATAGGGTAGAAACAAACAAAGGCATTTCTCACTTAAAAGCATCAACATCGAAACCCTCCCGACGTCTTCCTGTGTTTGCATAGGTACGTAGGTAATAATCATCACTGTCGTCATTGAATAGCTACAAACAAACAAACAAACAAACCAAGACCTATCATCCACGCACCATTAAACGCCGTCCAAACACACACAAAATCTCAAGCTAACCCCACACATCCTCGAACCACTTCCCCCGCCTCTTGAACCCCTCCTGCCACTCCCTCGTCTCCACCTCGCCCCACCCCTTCGCAGCAGCCATAGCATGACCCACCACCCTCCCCACCTCGCGCGCCATGCTCGCTCGGCCACAGATGTAGAAACTCGCGCCCTCGTCGGCCAGCAGGCGGGCGACCTCGGCGCTGTGCTCGCGCATGCGGTCTTGGACGTACACTCTCCCGCCAGCACCGGGTCCGTCGCCGTCGCCGCGGCGCGAGAACGCCGTGACAACCGTGAGCAATCCGCCGAGCTGGCGCTGCATCTCCGCCAGCTCGTCACGGTAAAGGAAATCCTGGTCCGGGTGGCGGCAGCCGAAGAACAGCAGCATGCGGGCGACGGGCTTGCGCAGGGCGTGCAGGCGCGCGCGCTCGGCGACGAAGGCGCGGAAGGGGGCGATGCCGGTGCCGGCTGCAGCCATGATGATGGGGGTGCTGCCGAGGGCGGGGAGCTTGAAGTGGGAGCGGCGGATTTGGGCGTGTATTTTTGGGTTTGTGGGGGATTGTGTGAGGGCGTGCAGGTAGCTGGTCGTCAGGCCGGGGATGAGGGGCGCGGTTGGGTTGTTCGGGAGGGGAGTGTTCGCGACGAGGGCGGTGATGGCTGCGTGGCGGGGGGCGAGGACGCTGCTGGAGGAGAGGGAGTAGTAGCGGGGCCGGAGGGGGGGGAGCGCCTCGATGAGGAAGGAGAGCGGGAGGGCGGGCCAGGGCGCCCCGTTGCTGGCGAGCTGGAGGATGCGCCCGACGGTCAGGTGCGTGCGCGAGGTGAAGTCGGCGTAGGCGGTCCGGTCTTGGCCGAGGTGCAGCAAGTACGCCTTTGCTTCCTCTGATGGAGCGAAGGTCGCGAGGCTCAGCAGCGTGGCGCGCGGGACGGGGGCGCAGATCTCGAGGTAGTTGCTGAGGAGGGCGGCGGCGGTGGTGGGCGTGGGGACGCCGAGTTTCTGCGTCGCGTCGAGGGACTTGATAGCGATGGGGACGGAGGCGCGGTCAGCCCGCCCCAGGATAGCGAGGAGGCGGGTGACTTCGTCGTCGGGGTTTGTGGGCCACACGGCGAGGTGGTCGCCCGTCTTGTAGACGAGTTGTGGGTGGTCGGTCAGGTCCAGCTCCATGTGGATGCAGTTGCGGTCGGAGGCGGCGAACAGCTCGCGGTGGTTCGTGACAGCCAGCGCGCGGATGGACGACGTACCCGGCGCTGTCTTGCCGTGCTGGACCGGCTCGCCGTGGTGCAGGTCGATGGGCGCGAGGGACTCGTCTTCGTCGGCCTGCACCGTCGCCTCGTACGCCGTCTCGTGCTCCTCGACGCCCAGCTCCGCCTTGAACACGCCGAACAGCTCCTCCTTCCACGCCATAAAGTCCTCCTCGGTCTGGCCGTGTGCGTCGTCGGCCTTGGCCACGCCCATCAGCGGCGAGGCGCCCGCGCGGTCCAGCGCCGCGGCCACGACGTCAACGACGCGGTTGTAGTGCTTGTAGCTGGAGTTGCCGAGGCCAAAGGCGACGTAGCGCAGGTCCGGCAGCGAGGGGTGCTGCTGCTTGTGCAGGAAGTCCCAGAAGGCGTGGGCGTTGTCGCTGGGGTCGCCCTCGCCAAACGTCGCCATGATGAAGACGGCCAGCTTAGCCCTAGGGATGAGGGCGATAGTATCGGGGTCAAAGTCCGACAGGTCCGCCGCCATGGCCTGCAGTCCAAAGCGGACGCGGCACTCCCTTGCCAGCCGGTTGGCAAAACCCTCGGCCGTGCCCGACTGCGAGCCCCAGAAGACGACGACGTCCTTGCCCGCCTCGTCCAGCTTCTGCGCGATATTGCGCGTTTCTTTACGCGCGCTGCTGCTGCTGCCGCTGGCGTCGTTGTGCTTCAGCTGCGGCCGCTCGTACCACACGTGCCGGTGCGGGTCGGGCTTGTCCCACGTGTAGTCCTTGAGCAGGTAACCCGCCGAGCCCAGCACGAAGACGCCCAGGGCCGCGACGTCGGCGACGGAGCTGGGTTGCGCTGTCTTGCTGAGCTCGGCCAGCGTCTGCTGGAGAGCGGGGTTGGAGAGGAAGAGTGCTGCCATTGCTGGCTGGGGTATGAGTCTTGTTGTTGTTGTTGCGATAGGAGGAGGCCAGCTCAGTGGACCTCCTAATATATCAATCAATCCACGCTCGTCCCGCTGTCGCCCACCTCCCATGACCCAGAAAGGCAAGTCAAAAAGGCCCCAGGCACACCAACCAATCGGTCCCCAACTTTCCCATTTGGGGCATCGTGGTGGCGTCACCAGCGCCTGGGGAAGCTTGACGAGTCCGGGGAAACCAAAACCGGGGGAAATTACCCGCTTCGGCCGCGCCCAATCGGGCAAGCTGCCCCATCGAGCTCTTATTTGGCAGTCTTTCGGCGGGCCACTTTCCTCGCTTGTCGGTCTGTCAGTCAGCCTTATCGTCTTTTTTTGGACTTGCCTCGCGCGCGTGCTCCCGCGAAGGCCGTCTCTTCTTCCATCCCTCGTCTCTAGGTGGCGGTTCTGGGACTCGGTGCCTGGTACCGCTGCGTCTCTAAACCGGAATTCGATAATAAATAAATCAGCTCTCTTGTCTCCCCGAAACCCCATAGGAGTAATAACAACAGGCTATGTTTACCACCAAAAAGCCCCCGTCCCCGCCTCACCGCGCCGCCCCTTCGACAGTGCAAAGCCACCAAAAAAGCCCCGTGGCGGCCTTGTTGAGCGCCAGTCGTGTAGCCGGAGATCAATGCCTCAAGCCGATCGATAACGACGAGAACTGGCTGTGCCTGTATCAAATGCGGCATTCATTCACCGGCGCGTCGTTCGTTTGCGCACTGTGAAGCCACGTTTGTTTTGAGGGGAAAGAAGGCCAGAAACAGGATATCACTCCGCTGCCCAGAGTACAGCAACCCCAACCCTCTCTCCTCTCTCTCACTCTCTCACTCACACACACACCCTCTCTCTCTCGATCTTCTTCTTCTTAAAGACTCCAAAACGCCCGGTTCGCCCGCCCGTGTCCCCCATTTCTACTCCGCTCTCGTCAACCTACTTCTCACCAGTGAACGTGGGCACGTCGTCACGAACCACGACATCAAGCGGATCCAGGCAGCGCGTCAATGATGCCGTCGACGCTCATGCGGTTATCCAGCACCGGCTCGAACCAGCCCCACGCTTCTTTGAGATGGACTTGCCTGGGCGAGAGTCAGCTGTTTCAGCGAAAATAGCCAGTTGACGACGCGTCATGAGCAGGCGAACAAAGACTTGGACTTACGCAGTCAGCGTCGGCCACGCATGCTCTACTTCCGTCCGCAGGAGCACGTCCACCAGCGCCTGTTGCTCGTTGCGCTTGTCGAAGCGCTCGCCGGCCAGTGCAATGACCATGGATGCGGTCCTATGCGTGTGAGGTACGGCTACAATGGAGACACGGGTCTTGGAACACATACACAAAGTTTGGTGGGCAGCGGCTGTTGGACAGGGCCATGCCGCAGAGCGCACGCACGTGGGACTTGATGTCTTCCTGCCGACGGCATTAGCGATGGTTTCGAGAAACCGGGTCCTGGTCCGTCTGGCGCTTACATCCATCTTGCGAAGAGCCTGCTTCTGGCCCGGCCCAAGCCGCGGGATCTTCGGGTTGTGCGCGGTAAGAAGGATCTTGCAGAGATGATAGTGCTGCAGGCCGGTGACGACGGCGTCGCTCAAAAGCCATATCTCGGGAAACACGCTCTCTTCATCGGGCTCCTTTTGGAAAATAGGCGAAAACGACGCCGGCTTGTACACATACCATCCGTCGCAATAATCCACCAGACGGTTGTAACACGCTACGTTGCGTTCTCCCTCGCCATAGCAGTACCGGATCACATCGGCGCAGTGCGTGACGATGCGATTGGCCCACGTGCAGTCGTTGGTCGGCTCGAACGAGCGGTCGATGTTGCAATGCTCCAGGTTCGGCAAGATTGTTCGCTGGTTCACGAACGCCATGTAGATTTCCTGTCGCAGGCCGATCCAGAACGCTGCTTGCCGCAAGCCGCCCATGATGGTCGACCGTTCCTGCGCGCTGATGAATACATGCGTTCCGAGCAGATGGCTCGTCGAGTCGTTGCCGGATATGGGAATATCTATCTCCTCAAGAAATCGGAGAATGACGGTAGCTGCGAGCAAGTTTTCATCCATGATGGCGGCCGAGTCGCTGAGCAGGGGGATCAGATGCTTCAAGCACTCCTGGTGGTACCTGTCCGAGACAAACGGATCAAAAGTGCTGACTCGGCTCAGATGTCTGGATGCGACGGCAAAAATAGCATTCAGCAGTGTCGGGCACATTGCCGCTCTTTGCGGAACCACGAGCGCGAAATGCCGGTCTGGATCACACAAGTCCAAACAAGGCGCCAGGTTATCGATGTAGTAACGCATCAACCGCGCCTCTTCTTTTTCCTCCAGAGGCCACACAGGAGCGTCAAGATAAATCCGGGACAAGGCGGCAGAAGTCTCCGATACGGGTGAGAACGGAGCAGCCCCAAAATCAGACGACATGGAAGTGACGGGAGCCAGCGGAGAAAACTCCTCAGCTGCGACCGCAATAACGTGGTCATCAGCTTGCGACTCGGGACTGACGATGGCTATCGAACTCCGAGGTTGGACTTGGATTCCTTCGCTAATCAATGAGTTTGTTCTTTGTGCGCCGGGAGAGACCTGAGATGTATAAGACTCTCCAGGGGACCCGTGAAAAGAGTCTCCAAAACTAAATGGTGGCGAGCTCAACTTGCGCCGCTTGGGAGAGGCAGTCACTTCGCCGAAAGTAGTTGCGAGAGACTGCGTCCGGGGCCGTCCTGGACGTTGCAGTCCTGGGCTGGAAGTTGTCGCAGCCTCAGGCGCAGAGCGATTGCTGCCACCCCAGTGGGGAGGTGTCAATATGGTGACTTCATTTTCAGACTCCCGTTCGTGTTCATATATATTGACGAGCTCTTGGGTTTCGTCGATGAAGCTGAGGTTGTAATTGGTTCTGCACCAAGGCTGGGTTTTGGAAAAGTCATAGTCGCATTTCCCCAGCCCCGATCCTTTGGCATTCGCCACACTGTGCGGGAGTCAGCGCGAGGGAGTTCTGGCGACGATGACGGCGCAAGAATGATTGTTTTCTGGGCGACAACAGCTGGTGGGAGGAAGTACCTTGGATTTGAGCCGTGGCGGAAACGAATGTTGTACCCGCGGATGCATTCGATGCCGCTCTTTGTACATCGCGAGCAAGCCGGTCGCTGCTCATCACCTTTGCATCAAGGATCAGCAATTTAATCGGCAGTCTGGACTAGGTGGGCTGGCACGTACACTTCAGATGCCTTTGATCATATAGATGATCAGTAAAGTCCTTTTAGGCGTGTGTTGTCACAACTCACCTTACACGGCAGCTCTGTGGATGAAAAGTGCATTAGCCGAAGCGCCAAATACCGGGACAGGGGGTCATTGCCAGCATACCTGACAGCCGGTCCTCGTCCTTGGAGTGTTCGACGACATGGCAGGCAATCTACAGATGACGGCGTGAACGTGGTGTGATTGTGAATGGAGGGCAAGTACGCTCCAGTTATCCCCTTTCAGCGGTTGCGGCAGGTTGTCACGCAGCCCGCAAAGCGGGGTGTGAAGGCAAAGGCGCGAACATGGCTGACGTGTGGGGACGGCCAATGGCGGCGCGGCTGATACGTAGTGTGGAGATGATGATGGGCACTAGTCGACTGGGCAAGTTTTACGGCGCGGACGGCGGATAGAAGTTACCATTGGATTTTGCTAGCCCGCTTGCCTTGAGTTACATCAACGCCTGCGACGGGACCTTCGAAGACGGCCGATAGAGCCGACGACATTGATTGTGGTGTTAGTAGACAATCGCGTACGATGGTGAGTGAGGCCTGGCAATCCGTCTGTAGCGCCTCGCCGCACCCCACAAGACCCCTGGGCGCCATGCGGGGGGCGGGGCCCCAACATGACGGAGCGTCGGCGTTTATCGGCCTCTGCGTCAAATGCCGCCCAACTGCGACAAGGAAAAAAGCCGCGCTCCACATGGGAAGTATCCGTTACATCGTCCAGGGACAGCCGTTTTTGCTAGAATCGGCCCTGGCCATGGAGAATTGGGCGATAAAAGTACTGTCTCTTCGACCGCAGACACTTTCAGGCCCGTGACATGGCTGGGTTTCCCTCATTCCAACCGTAAGATGTCCACTATCGGGCTTCGTTGCACCGAACTCTCACGTGTCATTCCAACTGCATCTGTAGAAGGGGCCCTTTATCGTCAGACCCACGGGCTCTCACTGCAATGAAAAGGTCGTCATTCTCTAGCTGTCGACGGGCAAACCTCCGCATCCAGCCCCAAAGTGGAGCCGGGCCCATCTTCTTTGACCAAAAAGGCCGGCACGGTTCGATTCGTTGCGCTTTATTCTAACGGCCTTTCGTTTCATCCGTGCTGTTGAGGTTTCGGAAAGACGATAACGGAGGATGTTGAGCAGCTCGTCAAGTCGATTTTCCGACAATCGATGCATGTCAACTGCAGCGGTGTTTGAGTAGAAGGAGCCAGTTCGCCGAACGGCCAGACCTTCCTTCTTGACCCAATCAATCCGCAATCCCTTGATCGGTCGGCTCTTGAGGGGAGATTTCTGTGCATTTTAACATCCTTCAGTGCGTCAACTACTGCTTGAGGCTTGAAAGTAATTCATTTTCCCCAGCTTTGCGACGCGTGATCAAAATGGTGTGCATGTCACCGGAAGCCAACCGTCATGTGACTGGCAAAGAGCTCCTTTAGGAGCATTTGATGAAGACACTGTCTATTTGGAGTCTGGCGTGGATGGTCCTCTCTGGCTCGAGCTGCTGGTCCAGATCGAATCCATGGTCCGCCTATACCAGTCGCGGATCTGAAAATAGTCAGCCCCAATCACCAGTAGACATATCACAAGCAAGCTTACTCCTTGGAACGGCTGCTGCACCTCCTTGTCACTACGGGACTTGAACTCCTTGCCCCAATCCATGAAGAGCACTCCGTAGACGGTAACGACTAGGCCTACGTCAGCACGCATCGCGGATCATCCGGTTCAATCACGTACAGAGGATGGCCCCCCATTGAGCCAGCTTCACGGCTTTAGTCCACTTTGGGCGCTCCCATTTCAGCGCCGTCCTCCGCCTATATTTGCGCTCGATGCGGAATTGGTGCTTGGGCGAGAGTTTGGTGAAGTCTGGTGGCCAGGTGCGCTTGGCCTTGTAGGGATTGTTGTGGATATTGAAGGGAAACTTTGTCCCTGGCTGAGCGCCCCTCCGGACCAGCGTACGCAACATGATGTGCGAGTGGTTTGCAAGACGGGGCGAAACCGAGATGTCCAGGCAGTCCCGCAGGCCTCGCTTGCTCACCGCCTTCATCATCTTCAGTCTTGGCAGGCAGCCCACCAAAAGCATTCATCGCAGTGACTCAACCCACGCAAGGCGCACTCGGTCCTTGATTTGCTCACGGTCCGAGAATCATTGTCATCATGTCGGCCGCAAAAGCTACCTTGGATGCGCTGGACCCCAGCAACAGCTCCAAGAACACGCTGAAGATTGAAAATGTGCGCTGCCCCGCCGCGCCGTCCCGCTGCATCCACTGACGACCCATTGCGCAGACCGACAAGCGTGACACTCTCGTCGCCGCCGAGAAGAAATACCAGCAGATATGGCAAGACACCAAGGTCTTCGAGGCCAACGCCCCTTCGACCGCCGAGGTGCCCTACGGCTCCATCGCTGCCGACGAGCTGCGCGCCCAGCAGCCCAAGTTCATGGGTACCATGGCCTACCCGTACATGAACGGTGTCCTCCACGCCGGCCACTCCTTCACGGCCTCCAAGATTGAGTTCGCCGCCGGTTTCGCCAGGATGGAGGGCAAACGAACCCTGTTTCCCCAGGGCTACCACTGCACCGGCATGCCCATCAAGGCGTGTGCCGACAAGTTGGTGCGCGAGATTGAGATGTTTGGCAACAACTTTGAGGGCTGCAAGGAGGACGATGTCGCCGAGGCCGGAAAGCCCGACGACGTGCCCGCTCCGACCCAGGAGACCACCAAGTCCGATGTCACCAAGTTCAAGGCCACGAAGGGCAAGGCCGCCGCCAAGACGGTCAAGACCAAGTACCAGTTCCAGATCATGCTTGCTCTCGGCATCCCCCAGGACGAGATCCACAAGTTTGCCGACCCGAACTACTGGCTGCAGTACTTCCCGCCGGAGTGCAAGAAGGACCTCATCTCTTTCGGCGCTCGCGTTGACTGGAGGCGCTCCATGGTCACCACCGACGCCAACCCCTACTACGACGCCTTTGTTAGGTGGCAGATGAACCGCCTGAAGGGTCTGGGTAAGATCAAGTTCGGCAAGCGTTACACTGTCTACTCGCCCAAGGATGGTCAGGCCTGCCTTGACCATGACCGGAGCTCTGGGGAGGGTGTCACCGTTCAGGAATACACCGCGTTGAAGATGAAGGTCCTGGAATGGCCCGAGAAGGCTAAGGAGCTCATCGGCGACAAGCTTCCCGCTGGTGCCAACGTCTATTTCGTTCCGGCTACCCTTCGTCCTGAGACCATGTACGGCCAGACGTGCTGCTTCGTCGGTCCCAAGGTGCAGTACGGCATCTTCAAGGCTAACGAAAACGATTACTACTTCGTGTCCGACCGTGCGGCTCGCAACATGTCCTTCCAGAACATCTTTGCCGAGTGGGGTGTTTTCCCCAAGGTCGTCGACCTCCATGGTTCGGACGTGGTCGGCACCCTCGTCGACGCGCCGCTCTCCGTGCACAAGGACGGCATCCGCATCCTTCCCATGGAGACGGTCAAGCCCACCAAGGGTACCGGTGTCGTCACTTGCGTGCCCTCTGACAGCCCTGACGACTACGCCACTACCCTGGATCTGATCAAGAAGGCCGATTACTACGGCATTAAGAAGGAGTGGGCCGAGTTGGAGATCATCCCCATCATCAAGACTCCCAGCTACGGCGACCTTACCGCCAAGTTCCTTGTTGAGAAGCTCAAGATCAACTCACCAAAAGACGCGAAGCTTCTCGCTGACGCCAAGGAACTGGCCTACAAGGAGGGCTTCTACCAGGGCACCATGGTCCACGGCGAGCATGCCGGCAAGTCCGTCCAGGTTGCCAAGCCGCTGGTCCGCCAGGCCCTGCTCGACGCTGGCCTTGCTTTCGCTTACGGCGAGCCGGACGGACAGGTCATGTCTCGTTCGGGTGACGAGTGCGTTGCCGCCTACCTCGACCAGTGGTTCTTCAACTACGGTACTACTGAGAACGGCGGTGACGGTGAGTGGTGCGATACCGTTCTCAAGCATCTCGAGGGCAGCATGAACACCTTCTACCCCGAGGCGCAGCACGCCTTCAAGATGACGCTTGGCTGGTTGTCGCAGTGGGCCTGCTCCAGGTCCTACGGTCTTGGTACCAAGCTTCCTTGGGACCCCTCGCAGCTGGTTGAGTCTCTGTCTGACTCCACTGTCTACATGAGCTACTACACCATCGCCCACTACCTCCACGGCGACATCTTCGGCAAGACGCCTGGTATTTCCAGCAAGCCTATTGCTCCCGAGCAGATGACCGACGAGGTTTGGGACTACCTTTTCTGCCGCACCGAGACCATCGACACCGACATTCCTAAGGCGGACCTTGACTCTATGCGTAGGGAGTTTGAGTACTGGTACCCTCTGGACCTCAGAGTGTCCGGCAAGGATCTGATCCAGAACCACCTGACCTTCTGTCTTTACATCCACACCGCCCTCTTCCCCAAGCAATACTGGCCGCAGGGCTTCCGTGTGAACGGCCATCTGATGCTGAACGGCGAGAAGATGTCCAAGAGCACGGGTAACTTCCTGACCCTCGGCGAGGCGGTCAAGAAGTTTGGTGCCGACGCGACCCGTGTCGCCCTTGCCGATGCCGGTGACGGAATCGAGGACGCCAACTTCGAGGAGACTGTTGCCAACAGCAGTATTCTTAAGTTGTTCGAGCTGAGGAAGTGGTGCGAGGAGATGGTCACCGACGCGCACCTTGTCGACTCGGAAGAAAAGTACAGGGAGATTCGTGAGAGCGGCAAGGCCAAGAACCCCGACACCATCCAACGTACCGGCGAGAAGTTGCTGTGGGACCGTATGTTTGAGAACGAGCTCAACAACCTGGTCCTGGAGACCAAGCAGCACTATGAGGAGTAAGTGGACCATCATTCTCTGAAGAAACGCGCGCTAATTATCTCGACAGTACTTTCTACAAGCTCGCCCTCAAGTCTGGTTTCTTCGACTTCACTGGTGCTCGCGACTTCTACCGTGAAGTCACGAAGGCGGCTGGCATCGGTATGCACGCCGACCTTGCCAAGCGCTACATCGAGTTGCAAGCTCTCCTTCTCACGCCCGTCGCCCCTCACTGGTCCGAGTACGTCTGGCTCGAGGTCCTCAAGAAGCCTACGACCATCCAGACCGCGCTGTACCCGTCTGTCCCCACGCCCGACGCGGCCCTTACCGCGGCTCGCGAGTACGTCCGTAACACGACGTCCAACATCACTTCGGCCGAGGGTCAGCAGGTCAAGAAGCTGGCCAAGGGCAAGAACGTCCAGTTCGACCCGAAGAAGGACAAGAAGCTGACCATCTTCGCCGCGACCTCGTTCCCCTCGTGGCAAGACCGCTACCTTGAGCTGGTGCGCGTCAAGTTCAGCGAGATGGGCGTCGTCGATACCAAGGCTTTGACTAAGGAGATTGAAAAGGCCGATATGAAGAAGGCCATGCCCTTCGTCCAGGGTTTGAAGAAGAGGCTCGACACGGGCGAGAAGCCGGACGAGGTCTTTGACCGCAAGCTGCCGTTCAGCGAGCTCGACACTCTGTGCGAAATGGTGGCCGGTCTGAAGCAGACGGTGCCCAAGCTCAAGGTCGTCGAGATCGTGAGCGTGTCCGAGGGCGGCAAGGCTGGTACCGTGGTTGGCGGCGAGAACAAGGACGAGAAGCGCGAGAGCATTCCCCAGGTCGCTGAGCAGGCGGTGCCGGGCCAGCCCACGTTCTTCTTTGAGAACTTGTAGGCGGATTAGATATGGGACAAGATAAAAAGATGAGATGAACGTTTAGACGTCTGATGAATAAAACATGATTTGGTTCACTGTGACATTCAGCATCAACATTCAGCAAGTGCTTAGCTTACGCGTCTGTGCCGACACCCAACTGCTCACTCAACTTCTCGATGATAACCCCAGTGGCCCACTCGAGACACACACTCATGTTCCCCTCCGCTTCCTTGGGCATGCCTTGGATGCCAATCTTCCGACACACATCCTCGTCCAGTTCTCCCTCGACATTACCGTCTTTGAACAAGAACTCGTGGTCCTTGACGTAGTTGGGCCAGACGATGTCGTCGACGTACCCCGGCGGATCCTCCCAGAAGCCCTCGAGAGTGACATAGCCACTACGGGCCTCGCGCCTCTGCTTTGCCGTTTGGTGCGACGTCCGCAAGAAGAGCTTAATGTCAAAAGCATCACGCACGCCTAACTCGGCCATCTCCTTCGAGTAGAGCAGAAAGCCATCGATGAGGGCTATGCGGCGCTCGGCCCAGTGCTCGCGGACGTCCGGGCGAGCGAAAAAGCTGCGCAAGCGGTCGGCTGCGCGCTCGATGGCCGCGGAGTCGACGCCGCACTCACCGACGGCATTCTGGTCCTCCTTGCTGACGAAGTCGGGGGGCGGGGTGCCCGCGTCGCGAATGTGGGCGAGGGCGGCGCGCAGCGCTGGCGCGTCGATGGCGTCCAGGCAGTCCCAGTCTTGCACGCCGTCGGCGCGGCGCGGAATGTCAACGTCGGTCTTGTAGAAGTCGTCTTCGTGCAAGATGTAGCTGGCGGGGAGGGCGTCGCGGAGAAGGCGGGCGAGGGTTGTTTTGCCGCTGGAGGAGGGGCCGGAGAGAGCGATGAGCAGGGCGGCGGATGTGAGGGGGAAGGATGGATTCGGAGGAGACAGAGTGGCCAGACGCGCGGCGTCGGCGGATGAGGGTGGCATGTTGTAGTAGTATTGGATAGATCTGTACTGTGCTAAGTAGCATTCGAGCAATGACGATCTGTTTCACATGTCTCTCGCCAACCCCGAAGTCTGCCACGACGACTCCAACACTATCCACCCGCCATGGAGCCCTCGCCCTTGACGCAGCAGTCGCGCCCCGACTCGTTCAAGCCCAAGGTCGTGCAGCTCTACGAGACGCTGTTCCACGCCGACAATGAAGACGCCGACCACTCGGACGGCTTCTGGGAGGAGTTCTTCCTGCTGAAGCCCGATCCCGCCAGCTTACGACGCGTCCTGGCCGACCTGAGCCCGGACGCCCTGCTACACCTGCAGGTAAGGGGAAAGGGAGAGGTTCGACGGCTTCCGCGCTGACCGCACCAGGCCCCCGCCCAGCAATTGTTCGCGCGCGCCATCCAGCGCATCAAGGCCGCTCGCGCGCCTGCCGACGACATCGCCCTCGATGTAAGACCAGACCAGACACTCCCGCCGCCGCGAGCCGCGCGACTTACGCTATCAGACTTTAACGGTCTTCCTAGGCGCCGTACTGAGCAAGAAATACACCAATCCCTCGTCAGACATCCTCTCGGTGCTCGCGGGCCTTGACGACGCCGACGCCGTCCTGTCCGAGTTTGTGGCCGCGCTCGATGTCATTATACGTAGTGGGCGGAGTAGTGAGTATACCGGCGCAATGGCAACTTGAAGCTGCGTGCTGACTGTCGGCAGAGCCAATCCGCCGCAAGGCGATCCGGGTTGCGTTGTCCATCACCTCCGGGGCGTACCAGACGGGCATCATCACCTTCTTCACGCACCGCGACCTGTTCCCGGCGCTGATGAAGTTCATCCAGGACTCCGACCCGAGCAGCGAGGCGTTTGAGCCGTTTGTGCTGCTTGGTTTGCTGTCAAACTACAACAAGTTCGAGTTCCAGAACCCGTACCGGCTGCGGCTCGACGACTTTGTCAACGACGTCGCGATCAAGAAGACGGTCCAGTGCTTGGGCAGCACGTGCCGCGAGGCGCGCGACAAGTACGTCGCGGTACAGGATGATCTGCCCGAAGGCTGGACCCTGGGAGGTACGCTCAGCTGGGTAGGGTTGGGTGCGCTGACAGGCTCCAAGCCGAGTAGCCCTGTGCTTTCTGCGGAAGAGGCGCAATCGGCCTTCACTTCACTTCCTGGGCCCGAGGCGGCTCTGCTGCTCTCGACATATGATTTTGTCAACGCGAACAAGCTGTTCGGATTCAATCTGGTCAACATGCCCGCGGCGGACAAGACGGAGATCACGCCGTTTAGCGCGTTCCTGTCGCTGACGTCGTATCTGAGCCAGCACGCGCATCGCTCGACGCGGACAACATTGTACGCGCATCTTAATCTTTTTATTCTGCAAATCATCATCGAGGATCAGGTGCTGGTGAAGCGCGTATGTAGCGACGATAGCAAGACTTTAGTCAGGCTGTGTCGGCAGCGACAGCCTTTCCTGCCCGTGGTCAAGGGCGATCGCGTGCTGGCGACTGTTTTGCTGGATATGATGATCGACTGCGTCAACCATAATCTGCGCCGCCGCCTCGACACGGATCTCTACATCCAGTCCTTGGGCTTGATCTTGCGCATTATCTCGTTCCTGGGAAGGTCCCGGATACGCCTTGGTATGTGTGACCGTGGCAGGTGACGAGTTTTTGCTAACGTGCGCAGTGTACCACTGGTCGGAGCTGTGGCGATCGCTGCTGTCGTTTATCCGATTCCTGACGACATACGCGGCAGACATCAAAACGTTGGGACACTCGTCACGGCTGATCAATGATGTGGTCAACGTGATTGCGCTGTCACTATCGACGGGCGAATCATTCCTGCCGGACCCGGCTGCGTACGACGACCTGTTCTACAAGCTCGTGGAGACAGGCGACATCCTGACAAAGTTCCGCGATGCGTACGACCTGACCAAATCGAGCACGAACAACATCGAGACACTCGTCAGCGTGTCGGCCCACTATTATGCACTGTTGGAGGGAGATGAGAAGGGCAAGGTCAAGAGCAAGAATCTCAGCCCGAGGGAAGTGAGTAAGGTGATTAAGCAGGGATACGAGACGCTGTCCATCCAGGCCAAGGAAGGCTTGGACCATTGGGACAGGTATCGCGAGACGGATCACAAGAGCACATTGAAGAGAATGGCGAGGTGCGCGGTCGAGGACGCAAAGGCACTGGTGGCAGAGAAGTAAGTGTGGCTATGTATTGACTGCTACTGGATGAGGCAGTTCCAATTTTGCTGGGTCAGCCAACCGGACAAGAGCCTCACGGCCCCGGTCGGCGACTCACGGCCCCGATCTGTTTTGTTCTTCGGACCTGTATTCTCAAAGAGCTTTAGGGGACAATAATTCGAACACCTGACTTCTAAGTTTGGGCTGCATGTTCCGAGAGGGTGAGGTGGTGATGCGTGTTCCTGGGCACTAGCGGACCGTGCCGAGTACTATTGATTAACTAGGAACCTTTCAATTTATCGACATCATCAAGGGCCGCGGACTGGAGGAGCACTGCGAGGCAGGCGGGGGTGGCTTTGCGGTGCACCAGCTCGTTACCATCTGCTTCTTTTGCTCTTCACTTTCACAAAAACACCCTTTTCGTCTGTCACTCGGGTCTCACACCTACAACCCATCCTCTTTTACTCAAGAGTCACCCACTCGCCACTCCTCCTTCGCTAAGCATAGATTCAGCATTGAACAGCATTGACCTTTGCATATCGGCATACGAAAGACCAGAATCCACACACTAATTTTCGCTCAAGAGACACGGCACATTCGCACGACAGACACATCCTCACACATCTTCCCACGCACATCTTCGGACACACTAATTCCTCACACGCATTGAACCTTCACGTTCCTTGGAGACTATCTCAACAACCTCATAACAGCAACACATCAAGCCAAAAAGCGACGCCAATGTAAACCAACAAAGCACAATGAACAACAGCCCACAACAAGCGGTACCTCCGCCCTCGCCGCCGCCCTCACCCTCACCACCCCCCTCTGTCCCTCGTCGCTCCGAAGAATCCACGACACCGGTCTTCCTCCACTCCGAGGCATCGCAGTCGCCGTCGCAGTCGCCGTCGCAGTCGCCATCGCCAACAAACATGGCCCACCAGCCCTTTCCGGCAGACTACCCGATCGACTACAGGCCGCCCACCGAACCCGAACCCGCGGCCCCAGCCGGACCTAATCCCTTTCTTCCCCTCCCCTGCGACCTGGACCGCCCGCCTCCCACCCCGGAGTCTCCGCACATTGCCAACTCAACCCAGCCGCTTCCGCCGCTGCCGCCTTTTCCATCCCCGGACCTTCCTCCGCCGCCGGGACAGGACCAGGACCAGGACCAGGCTCAGCACGTCTCGCTGGATCAGCGGCCCCCGACGCCGCATGCCAGGACTGGGAACTCGGCTGCTGCGCGGTTTCATCTCGCGACTGCGCTGCCGGTCCTTTTCTCTCGCGTCAGGCTTAGTCGGCGGAGTGGTGGGAGCAGTGCTGCTGCTGCTGCTGCTGGCTCTTCCACAGATACCGCCGCCGCGGGCACAACCATCGACGCAGACACCGACGCCGACGCCGACACAGACGCAGATGTTGAGGCAGATGCGGAGGCAGACGCAGATATAGAGGCAGATGTAGAGGCAGACGCGGAGGCAGGATCAATTACAACAACAGCAGCGACAGAACTCCCCACCCCCGCCAACGCCTACACAGTCACCTGCCCCTACAACAACAACACCATCAACAACAACAACAACAACAACAACAACAACAACAACAACGCCATCAACACCCCGCCCCGCGGCCGCAGCACCACGCGCGGCCCCGCCCCCGCCGTTGGCGTCGCCAGCCACGACTACTTCACGCCGTTCGACGCGCATGGCGGCGACGACGCGCACACCTCGGCCCCGACCTCCACCGCGCCGTCCATGCACGAACTCCTGGCCTCGACCATGCGCGCCTCGCAGGCCCTCGAGCAGGCCGGCGCTGCCGGCAGCCGTAGCCAGCTGAGCATCGCGTCGGTGGCGTCGGCGTCGTCGGAGGCGGGGGTGCTGTCGTCATCGCCGCTGGGGGTGCCATCGCCTACGCTGGCATCGACATTGGGGGTTGGCGATGGAGGGGTTGGGGAGAGTGCGAGTGCGAGTGCGAGTGGGACTGTGAATGTGAGTGCCAGTGCCAGTGTGCCTGGGGGTAGGTCGCCCAGTGTGGATGTGGCGCCGCATCCGCGAGGGCGTGGCGGGAGAGGCATACGCTTGCGGGAGTTTGGGAAGCGCATTGATGCCGTGATGACGGGGAACGGCGGTGGTAGTGGGAGTGGGAGTGGGAGTGGTAATACGAATGGGGGTGAGGGAAGTAGTAGTAGTGATGGTGGGGGCAATACTAATGCTAATGCTACTGTTAATGCTAATGCTAATGATAGGAATGGACGAGGAGAGCAGTTGCTTCCGGATGGGAGCAGTGGCGCCGGACAGGTGGGTGCGGGCGCGGACGTGGAAGACGCGGGCAGCAAGGGGAGCGGCGGGGGAGGCAGCGATGGGCGCAGACATTATTTTCGCAGGCAGCCATGCCGCGCTTGGAGTGCGGTCGCGCTGGTTATTACTGTTGTTGGGGTGGTGATTGGTGTTGTGATTCGGTTTATTGCTTTGAGGAGTAGGTAGGTAGGTGGTTTGGTCGGTTGGTGAGCTTAGTTTCGGTTGGGGGGAGTAATACGTGATGGTTTGAGGAGTTGGAGTTATGTTTGTTAGTTTGCATCTTGTTCTATTTGTTGTACGCGGCTTTGATTTCACTCTGTTTGTTGCTGTCGTTGTAGCTACCAAAGAGAAACGCAGTAGTGGTAGTCTTCCTTCTTTATAATACAAAGGGCTTTTTGTGTCCACGACTACAGGCTGATGAAAATTCCGTAGCAATATACGCCAAAATGATGCGGTTAAAACAGGTTAGACGGTCAGTTCATTGGATTTGGAATTGCACGCCACCTACAAAAATATCACCCGTTTCTTGCTTCCACATAGGTAACGTTTTTTAATAATTTTAGCCATCCTTGTGGCGGCTTGCGGCATGCAAAAATCCAGGCAACGAGGCAATGTGCACCGCTCAAGCGGCTCCAGGTATGTGGTGTGTTCGAGCGGGGTATTGTGCTCTTAAGCACCGCCCGTGTAACCTGTACGTGCCCAGGAAGATAAGTTCTTATACCGATGGCCCCATGTTCTACTTCATGCGTAGATTCCGTCAATATCTATCACTGTCTTGAACATCAGCTACTTAGGATCAAGTTAATTTCAAACAGACTTAATCACGGAGTCTTCATTGCAATTGGTTGCCTTTTCAAAGTAGGGCTGATTTACTAAAGAGTGCTTATGTGTCAGGTGGCAACAACCCTGTGATACAAAATGTTACACTAACGTTGACCGGCTCGGCCGCAGCTGAAAGTCAGCAAGTCTCTTTACATCTAAAGTTCCACTGGACCACCAACTAGAGTGTGATTGTGCTACTATTGTAACTATCTGTACGGTCGATCTTAGCCTTGGTTACTTAAAAGACTGCTGCCTAAAGTCAAGAGGCTGAAGACACTTCTTATACCATGGCAACTCTCCCACCACAGGGCTAATGCCCTCTTAAGTCATCTCATGCTTAACAAATCCCATCGCAACACCCATTGCCAATATGCCATCAACTGGTATGTGCCTCTAAGTTATATTTACAGCATGGTCTAATTAACGTCAGGAGACGAAAACTATCCCATGCTTCGTGCAGAGAGCATCTCAACATCCACGGATATTAGGAGCAACGCAAATGAATCTCCAGGAGCACCACAACAAGAATGGATCCCGTTGGTTCTGAAGAAGTCTTGGACTATTCCCCTGGCAATACTATGCTTCCTTTTCGTGGCACTACTCGAGGCACTCGATGTTTTTGTGACCAGAAATCAAGGCATATCCATCAACGAAAGCGGGCTCGTATTCATGGTCAGGTACCTTCCAACGTTCTGTGTTGTTTTGCTCAGTTTCGTTTGGAAGTCCATGACCAACGAAATCAAAAAAGTTACCCCATGGTCCGCGATGAGCAACAAATGGATGGCGGCCAAAGATTCGGTTCTCGTTAATTACGTCAACAACCTCGAAATCCTTTCGCTTTTCTCCTCCTCCAGACGAAAGCACTGGTCAATGTTTCTGGCAATTTTCGTTGGGATCCTTACCGCAATCGCAGTTACAGCTGCCAACGCCTTGACGTATACCAAGCTTTCCGTCACCACGCAGCAGGACACCACAATTGAAATCCTATCCCGCTTCAACTTTGATGGAACACTCGTCCGTCACAACAATACGTTGGCGATCCCAAGAGACCATACTGGAGCTCGCCCCTACGCAAGGGTGACCGCTGAGCGACAATCCAGCGGACAAGCGGCACCATACACAAGCGGAGTTTTTGCCTTCGATGAGTTCGCTAGCACATTTGAACTTCCACTGGCGAATGCTTCCCTTCAAGTCAACGTGTCCACCTTCACGGCAGACTGGAACTGTCAGCAATTAAATCTATCATTAGAGATAGAAGAATACGGGTATTTCCGGAGAATTAATGCACCCAAGGAGAGCAACCCTGGCGTAGACTGCTTTCAGGACATTATTCAAACAATTGATCCAGGGTACGGATCGGAAGAAATTGCCTGGCTTAACGTCGCTCCTTGTAAAAACGAGACGGACATCCGGCTTCTCGCAACATTTCTGGCAGTCCCTGTACCTCCCGGGCCGGAATATTTTCCAGCAAGAGCATTTGAACTTATTTGTACTCCGATGTTCAGTACAGGAGAAGCACTAGTGCAAGTCAACGCTTCATCCGGGCGGGTCACGAATTACACAATCAACCATGAAACAATCAACAAAATCGACATAAATATATCTATGGAAGCTCTATACGCTTATTTGAATAACCCTACCGATGCGCGTTGGAGAGTACCGATTGTTAACGTCTCACCGATAGAGGCTGTTAATTCGACCACCATTAACCAGACATTAAGGGAATTCCTCCGTTTTTACGATAGTGACCCTTTCTTCATGCCCTTAACAGATGGGCTGCTTAGGGGGTATAGTCAAAACCACGTCCACTTGGATAATCAGGATATTTTTAAACATGAGGTCGAGACCCTCGCTAGCCAAATTTTGGTACAGCTTGTCAGCTCGTTTGCGCGCGTGAAAGACTCTACTAAAACACGTGGAGTGATAACCCTCAGTCAATCCAGGCTCTTCTTACGGCAGCTTGCGCTCCGCTCTCTCCAAATCATTCTGGTTATCATAGGAGCTGCCAGTCTCCTACAATCAACTTTATTAAGACCGAAGTCTTTACTCAAGCAAAACCCTGGGCCAATTGCTACTACGGCCATAACACTCGCACAGTCTAAACCTTCCATTAATCAGTTATTCGAGCCACACGCGGTTACTTCGGATAAGGCTTTGAAAACCTCACTCTCAGATATATGTTGGCAAATACAAGAATCCAAATGCGGCAACGCGACTGGACCATTGTTGGACGTCGACATAGTCTCTTTCTTTAAAGCTGATCCCCTACACCAGTCCGGTTGGAGCCCCTATGCTCTACGTATTTGGTCAAAATATGCTATTTCCGTAGCTTACTGCACTGCCATCACTACTCTTGCGATCCTACAAAAGGTATCAATTACGGACCACGGACTATGTTATATCCACTCAGCGGCATCAGGCCTATTCGACTACGCACCTACCGTAATTTTACTTCTACTAAGTGCATTATGCTCTGGGATTGACGCCGCTATGAGATCAGTATCGTCTTATAGTAGCCTACTTAAGGTATCAAAAAAATGGCCTCTTCTTTCCAACTTCCAAGATGGTCCAGGCCTCTATGGCTTACTCAAAGCTTCAAGAGTGAAGCTGGCATCTAGAGAATTTGGCTTTGCACTTATTGCCACTTCAGTTGCGACACTTCTTTTTCCTTGGATCAAAATCGCCGCCGCAGGGCTCTACCAGACCACAACGTCTATAGCTCTGGAGCCGATAATAGTGCAGCTGGACTTAAGCCTAGTTAAAAAAGACGCTAGCTACTGGTTTTCTCAAATGTCCGATACGGAGCGAGCCTCACAATACGTCGAGTGGACAATTACACCAGACTCGGCCATCGTTCAGAGGCCAGGGGCCCTCGATAACCTTGTTATTACTAACCTTACGGGTTGGGCTCCGAAAGCCGGTGAAAATAAAACAGCAGGCTATGAAATCGAGGCCAGAGTTCCGGCATTCGCAGTTAACGTTTCCTGTGAAGTTATCTCTTCAGGGGAATTTGGCGCTGTCGCCTTTTGGAATACGGACTGCGATAACAACCCATTTTTCGGTTTTCAGTGCAGTACTCGTCATTGTCTGGCAACTCTGAATATTACCGAAAAGGACCAAAAGTTTGGCGGCATCAACTTCATGGGACTTAATTACTCCGAACACGGAACCTCGGAAAATATGAGTGCACCACAGTGTTCTAACAATACTCTCCAAGCATTTGCCGGAGCATCCTATTACGGTGTCGATTTGAGTGATAATGGAGATATATTCTTCAATATTAACGGCACTCTAATCCTCTTCTTGGCTGATTACTCAAGTGTTATTGGCCCGGTCCAAAACTATACCCCTATTAACACAGAGAAAAGCACTGCCGTTGACCCTAGCATGTTTAACGTCTCACTACCAACATTGCGCGCTTTGTCCTGCACGAAAAACATATCCGTTGTGCAAGTCAACGTCACTTTCGCGCAGTCAACGCGCGTTGATATAGGTAATGGAGTTACGACTCTGCCATGGGCTCCGGTTAGCTACATCCGTGAATCGATCGAGTATACGGCACGCGTGACAGAGAGACTAGATTTTTTAGACTACCTAATACCAGCTTCAAATGGTGGACGGGTGTCTTTGTCTCGCGAAGGATTCCTTGAAGGCGTAGTTGATACGCTGAACAGCAGCTCTCTCTGGCCAAGTAGGGGATCTAGCTCAAATTTTTTCCAGCTTCTAGCCGCCTATGGGGAATACAAGATAAAGAACCTTACGGCTTTACTCGACGCAAACCAACTCGCTATAGCGGCAGAGAAAATGTACGAAGCAGTTGTCTGCGAATTGCTTACTAGGCAGCGACCCGCCGCTCGAGACAAGGCAAACGCAACAAGCATAAAGGAATTTAGCGGGATCATACGTCACCACCGCGAAGTCATTAGCCAGGACCTGACAACCACAATTATTCTAGAGGCTCTCCTTACGATGGTGTTCTGCTGCCTTCTATGGGTCATGTACCGTACTCCAAGCACGGCAATTCTACCCAAGCAGCCCGACTCCATCGCGGCGCGACTCTCGCTCTTGGCCAACAGCACGCTGGTGCAGCGCTTACGCGAAATGGAACCTTCTTCAATGGAGAAATCAAGTATATGGGAAGAGAAGGCCAGCCTCGGTTGGTGGAAAGTTCCCAATACAGACGGCCAAGCTTCGCAGCAGTGGAGATGGGGAATCGACGTGGGCACCGCAGTATCGCAGAAGGATTGGAGACACCCACCTTGCGAAAGCCCAGACGAGACTTCAAACGAGGCCGGTGATGGAGATGCGGCAAACAGCGCAACGGATACGCAGCAAAGTAACTACTTGGCCGAAGGCGAGGATGGAGACGAAACGGACGAACAACAGCGTACGCCCCAAAACAACGACACGACAGAGACTATTCCATTATGCTCTCTAAACCTCCATGAAAGAAACTCCCAAATAAAGGAAGAAAACACAAACTGCAACCCCCAAACCACCACTCCCGACCCACAACAAAGCATAACAAACGCTCAACCGCCTCCTTCCCAAAACACTCACACAACGCAAACAACACCACCATGCTCCCCAAACATCAACGAAAGTGTCTCCCCAATCGACGCAGAAAACCAAGAAAACACACACAACAACCAGCATCCCAATTCCGCCACCTCACCAACCCCTAACCATCACTGTCCAGACCTCCCCCCACTATCACCAGTCTCCTCGCTCTCATTCTCCGATGATGATGGGGATGGGGATGAGCATACACCCCTGGGTCCGGATATTTCGCTTTCGCCGCTTCTTTCTCGGTAGCTAATGCAGTGCGCTGGAAGCTGGAAAGGAATCGGACTTGTAGGAGGCAGGTTGGCAGTGAGATGGATGGAAAATGATGCTGGAGTTTTACGAAGGTACGAATGTTTGGGTTTGCGGTTTCGGATGCGAGTACTGACTACCTAGGGATTTTTAGGGAGTTGGAAGTCGCTCGCTTATAGTCACTGGAAGTACATTCGCATTCTACAAAAGCAGTATCAAATTGCGTTTCAGCCTTACTGAAGATTAGATTTCCTTGCATCTTTCCCACTCTTTAAATCTTCCACAGCCTCGCCGCGCATAACACTATGCATATAACACTCCCCAATTAATTTCCAGCAGTTCTTTTACAGACGAAGGATGAAAGGCGTAACATCACTGAAAACATATAGACTACGTCGTTTTCTTCAAGTCCACCAGATCCAAACTGAGATATCTTCACTGAGTGCGAAGGATGTTTCAGTTCATACATACCACTTTAGCATTTTCCGTGGAGTAAGTCATATTTTCTTCTTGTGCAGCTTTCCGTCGGTCCTTTGAGACATCCCCTTCCATCAATGGTTGAACAAGACAGGCAGCAAAATGTGAACAATCTTGTTTTAAAGATACAGGCTTGCGGCAATATTTGTTGTGTTGATATATGTTATTGAGTAGTAAAGGGGATATTAACTTACAGCGTCATCGTTAGCCGGTTGAGTCAGGCTATGGATTATAAATCAAACCCGACATCTACCATAGCTCCTAGCTTCCCGGAATTACTTCTGGTATTTAATCCTTCCAACCCACATAGTAGCTACAGACTCAAACTTGACATCCGTTATAAGATTTCATTCTAGACAACCAAGCACCTACAGCCAAACATGCCGTGAGTTTCATTCTTCTATTCCGCTTCTACATTTGCCGCTTTCCATCACTGACACATGCCAGCCAAACAACCGAGCAGCGCGTTCTCGAGCTCATTTCCTCCGGAGCGGCAGAAAAGCAGCACCACCAAGCGGGCGAACTCTTCTTGCTCTTCGACCAACTCTCGCCCATCCACCCGAACGACCTCGCAGCCCGCGGCGGGAACTGGGTAGGCGGAGGCTTCGAAACCGGACATCCCGCAGGCCCCTGGCTCCAGGAGATAAAGTGGGTGGGCAAGAAGTTCTACAGCACGGATGACGTGCAGCCCATCCTTGCCGAGACGCCGGATGGCGGGAAAGAATGGCTTGAGGAGTGGGGGCGGGCAAAGGTGTGTTGATACTGCTGCCTTTGGTGGATGTGAGGGGATGCTGTTGCTCACTGTCGCGCAGGTGATTGAGGCGAAGTATCGTGGTGTCTATACTGCGACGATGGTGTACGACGACTACCCCATATTTGACTACTTCCGTCGCCTGAACGATGACTTCGTCATGGGAGTTATGGAAACGAAGAAGTGGAAGGATGAAGGAGTTAGTTTCTTCTGGCTACAAAGGGCTTGATTCGGTGTAGGAAGTCCAGTGGATGATTGATTTACTAGCTCTTCCCAAGTTTCCGGTTCTAGGAACTAGGAAGCCAGTTGCGTTGAACGTAAAGTTGTTATTGTCGGTGTAGATGAATCGATCTAGCTTAACCTTCCACTCCTTCAACAAAACTCTGACGTACACTTGGATAAAGTATCGAGTCTCATTAGGACCTCGGCTTCATGTCTCCTGAACAAAATGTGGGTCATATACAACAGAATTTGTAAGCCCTTTCGAATGCAGGTGCATACACAGTTCTTGTGACATGACCTACTTTCTTATCCAATAGCCCTCATTCAAGTACCATTGGCGTGGATTTGATCCAATAGCTAAGAGAAATGACCACAACCATGGATTGCAAAGATAAAAAAATTGGTAGTGTTCGATACTATTCTACGATCCTTTCCCTTCATGCAGGAGGTTTTATGGAACTGCAAGCCACCGAGCTACACGTATCACAACAAACGATTGCGTGCAAGGAATGTCGGGTATAAACCAATGAGGTGGAGCTACTAGTCCGTAGCTTACCAAGCCCGGACCCGCTGATGTATCTGATTGGTGGTGGCGCCTGGCGCGGGTGACCCTGACCATCACTGATGCTCCGCTAACGAAGATGCCGAAGATGCCGATTTCCTAGCACGACGGCAAGCATACGGAATGCGACGTCACTGCAACGTTGACATGGTAAATGTGGTGAAAGGGAGTAGGATTGGTAATCATCTCTTTCTTCTAGCAGAACACCCCATGAGTTGACTGAAGTCCTATTAAAATGCGAGTAAAGGTTGATTCTCTGCTCGATACCTTTACTCAACCTCAACCTCGACTATTCAACGTGTGATCAACGCTCAACCAAAATGCCTTCTGCCATTGTCACTGGAGCAACCGGTATTAAGCCAGTGGCAAGTGTGTAGCGCCAACGGATGCTAACGGTGAAGTAGGAATTCTCGGCCGGGGAATCGTGAACGAGCTGGGGAGCAAGCCTGACGAATGGTCAAACGTCTACGCCTTATCGCGCTCAAAGAAAGACAGCTACCCATCGAATGTGCACCACAATCACCTCGACCTGACCAGCTCTGCGGAGCAAATGGCCAAGGACTTGAAGGATATCGAAGCCGAATATGTTTTCTTTGCAGCGTATGTGGACGTCGGTTCCGCCGATGAGAACAATCGTGTTAATGGTACGTTTTCGTTGTCGACTCGGCCATGATGGTCAAAACAAAGTTATCAACACTGAAGCATACTGACGAGAAACTGCAGGCGACATGTTCTCAAACTTCCTCAAAACATTCGAAATCAACGGAACCGTCTCCAAGATCAAGCGTATCATACTTGTGTGCGGGCTCAAGCAATACGGGGTTCATCTGGGCAACCCCAAGCAGCCCATGGAAGAAAACGACCCCTGGCTCCCAGAACCGCCCTCGAACTTCTACTACCGCCAACAGCGCACACTGCACGACTTCAGCAAGAAGCACAACACCGAGTGGGTGGTGACGTACTCGAACGAAGTCGTCGGGTTCGCCAAGGGCAACTACATGAACCTCGCCAGCTGCCTGGGGCTGTACGCAGCCGTGCACACCGTCCTCGGCAACGGCAAAGAGCTGCCATTCCCGGGCTCGCAAGCCGTCTACACCAAGTTCGACGTCTTCACGTACACCAAGCTGCACGCTCAATTCTGCCGGTGGGCGGCGCTGGAGCCGCGCGCAGGGAACGCGGCCTTCAACGTCGTCAACGGCGATGTCGAGTCCTGGCAAAACCTGTGGCCCAAGCTCGCCGCGCGCTACAACCTGACAGTGCCAGCTGACCAGTTCTCGCGCCCGGCTCCAGATGCATCGGATTACCCGATGGGCGACGTGGCGCCGCTCTCGTACTTCGCCAAGGAGCTCGGTGTGGAGGGCCACACGCCGCCGTCGCGCCTGCAGCAGCGGATCGATTTGGAGCGGTGGAGCAAGAAGCCCGAAGTCCGAGACGCTTGGGCGACGCTGGCGAGGCGCCACGGACTGGATGAAGACGCTATCGAGAAGGCGACGTGGGGGTTTGCCGCTTTTGTCTTGGGCCGCGACTACGATCTTGTTGCGAATATGAGTAAGGCGAGGAAGCTGGGATGGACGGGCTATGCTGATTCCTGGGAGAGCTTTGAAGAGGTTTTTGGCGAGTTGGAGGACGCAAAGGTCCTGCCGCGGTCTAAATAAGTAGGTTGCGGATGTTAGTTTGCGTATATAGTCCGTCTTGATTAATACCGCAAAAACGAAGAGCTCCTGAATTTAGAGAGTCCACCTTCACTCACTACAGACGCAAAGGACGCAAGCAGGAGTTTCAAAAAATAGAGTCGTATTGCTGGCGTTGCCACCATCTCTGCCCACGACCAAATCTATTCCGCTTCGCGCCCTTACACACCTCATCGCGCAGGGCCCTCGACTCATCAACCAACAAATACGTGCAATAAGCGGCGCAACTAACCGCGACGACATACGGCTCCAACGCGGGCGCAGCTCTGCGCCACGCCGGCGAAAACGGCACCTGAGCACCCAGGCCCAACTGGCCGAAGCGATTCGAGCCGGCGATAAAGACGCGCCCCGTCCGGTCCAGCAGCGCGACATGGTCCTCGCCGATGTCGAAGTCGCGGATGCGGGGCAGCGGCTCGTGGCGCTCGCCAGGACACGCCACGGCGACGAAGTCGTCGCCCGCGAAGGCGAAGTCGGTGAGCTCGTCGGCCGCGCTGCCCGGCACTCCCCACAGGTACACCATGCCCTCGGCCTCGTTGAGCGCGCCAGCGTACCCGCCCCCGCCGCGGATCTGCGTTATGTCCAGCTCCGGGTTGTCGAGGTATTTGACCATGCGCGGGCGGTCTGGGGGGTTGAGGGGGCTGAGCGCGCGCCCGAGCATCTCCGCCGTCGCGCTCGGCGTGCCCCACGTGTAGACACAGTTGCGGTTATGGCGCGTGAGCAGGAGGGTGAAGGTGGCGGCGTTGGCGACGAGCTGCTTGGCCACACCGGGGACGACGTACGTGAGCACGTCCGGCGGCAGGTCTTTGGTGTGCGGGCCGCGCTGGCTGCTGTTCATGTACCACTGCTGCATTCTCCCGATGCTGGGGAATTCGCTGATGTAGGTGTCTTGCATTGTCAGGTTCTCGCCGACGTATTCGAAGATGACTGCACATCTGCCCCCTCCGGTCGTGGCTACGAAGCATATTTCGGGGAAGCTTGGTCGGAGGTCCTCGAAGGCGATGAGCCGGCTCGGAACACTTCCGGGTGGAATAAAGGGCGCCATGAATGCTATCTGGCAGCTGTGCGTGCACACGGCTCCGCGGCATTGTTCCGAGTCGCCAAAAAAAGAGTGAAAATGAGGGTGAAGGCACGCCACGTTATTTTCCTGCTCCGGCAATTTGTCGTACTTTTTCTCGACGCTGCTCAGTCTGTAGAACTCGTTGTCCAGAAACACTAGCCCGACATATCAGCTGGATGCGAATTTTCTGTATGAATGACAGACAAGGAATCCAGACCGACTGTCTCCGAAACACCCGCCCAGACGACTTTCAACGAGTTTTCCGCGAGGATGAGGTTTTGCGGCGCCCATATCGACCCTCTATGCAGTTGACCTGATAGCTGGTGGTGTCCGTTGAAGCCGAAGCCGTGGAGCGACAATGCCGACCTGTTATCTGGAGAGTAAAGCGGCCCCATGGCCGCCATGGCCGTGGAGATTGATTCGGCACGAAATGGTAGGGGTGGATTTTTCAAGGTAGGAAATGGAGGGGAAATAATGACTGAACGAGTGGAAAGAGAAGCGAAAAGAAGAGCCGAAGGAAACTGTAGTCGCTACCTGTGTGTTCTTGCCCCTCTGCAGTTGACTCTCGTGCTCCTTCCCAAAGGGAGTCGCATCTTGTCACTACGTGTCCAAATCATGGTGCGCAGCGCAGCTTGGAGCGATGCCGAGGGGGGTGGGAGCGTTGTCGTCGTAGTGCCGGCCCCAACAAACACCGACCTTCTCCCGGATGAAGACATGGCGTCTTATGGAACCCTCTCATGACATGACGCAAAGAGTTGTTTGCGGGGCCCGCCTGATGATGATGTCAAGCATACATGTGAAGAGAGTCGCGACTCCGCACCACCACCACCACCGCCCCCGCACGTCGTCGACGTGGATTTGTCAGATGCCCCCATGTCAGTTATATCATCAATCCCCACGTTTATATTTCGACAAAAACTACCTCGAAAAATGTAGATACCTACACCAACTGATCGACTGTCCAAAAATGCCCACTGCAGTAGTCACAGGCGCCAACTCGGGCATTGGCCACGAATTCGCCAAACTCCTCATCAAAGAAGTATAAAAAAATCTCACTAGCCGGCCATACCCGCCAACGCCCCAACTAACGCGGCACCAGGGCTACGACGTGTACGCCACCGACGTGCAAGTCGGGGACAAGCTGCAAAGCCTCGCCTGCAAGCACGTGCACCTGGACGTCTCCTCGCCCGAGTCGATCCAGTCCTTCGCGCAGCAGCTGTCGAACCAGCCGGTCGACCTGCTCCTCAACATCGCGGGCATCATGGCCCCGCCGGCCACCGACCTCCTCACCACCGTCGACCTGCCCGCCCTTAACCGCACGTTTTCTGTCAACGCCTTCGGCCCCCTTCTCCTCACCCAGTCCCTCCTCCCAAATCTGCTCGCCTCGCCCCACCCCCGCATCGGAAACATGTCCAGCCGCGTCGGAAGCATTGCCGATAATGCCTCCGGCGGCTCGTATGCCTACCGTGCCTCCAAAGCCGCCCTCAACAGCATCTCCAAGTCCTTGGCCGTCGATCTGCGCGACAAGGGCGTTGTAGTCGTTGTACTGCATCCCGGATTCGTCAAGACAGCCATTGATCCCAGAATCCATGAGGTGAAGGAGGCTGTGAAGCCAGAAGAGGCCGCCGCGAAGCTGTGGCGCGTGTTAATGAGTAAGGGACTAGAGGATTCGGGACGGTTCTGGCATCGGGAGGGCCAGGAACTGCCGTGGTAGGTTGCGGGCGTGGCTTTTTGATAGATAATGAGGTATGAGATGCGATGATGTTATCATGTGAAGATCTTTGAACAGCTCCGACTCGACTGTGCGGACCATGGTCAGTAAGTCCACAAGCGTAGGTTCTCACCATAGTCGACTGAACTTGGTGATGGAAATCCACCATTCATAGCTGTTGATGATCATCACCGAAACGCCCCAGTCTGGAAGAACCTAGACGTTCGACCTTGGACATTCTCAGAAGTTGCCTATTTGGGCCATGGGTTAGTAAGCCTCCAGGTCTTCGCGGCAGTCACCCACCTGCTGCGCACTAAAAGCTAGACGTTCGAAGTTGTTGAGCTGGTTGCCATTCTAGGCCATGCAAGTATTTCTAGGTGGAACAAAGCAGACACACGCGACTGTCTGCTAGTTCTCCATTCGTCAGTGTGCTCTTTGTTAAGAAGAATGCTCTCAACAGCGTGTGTAAGTGGCAATGTCTGACGGAATTGACTTCAGGTTGGTCCTATTGTACATGAATTATCTCGACACTTTGTATAAGTCAGTTACCAGCTGGTCAAGGTCACCCTCAGACCCTACTGAACAAGCCTTTGCGTCTGTACGGAGATCTTTGTCCCCCCCCCCCCAAGGCATGCGTATTTACAGGCGAATTATTGCTAAGCTGACTGGCACAATACGATCAGTCAACTTCCAACGCAAGCACAATCTGCAGACAGAGCATCCGCACCTACCCAGTGTTTAACTCAGCCGATGCGACACATGCGCGTCTCAGGATGATGATTATAGTCAAAGGCCTGCAAGATAGCGGTAAGATGGGCCAAAGCGCCACAAATGACCAAGATATGAAAGATCTGGTGGGAGCTGCCGACGAAATCGAAAGCGCCGGGCCAGAGCTTCTCTGGATACTTTGAGGCGTAGACGAGGGCGCCGCTCACGTAGAAGACGCCCTCGAGCACGATCCAGCACCAGCCCATCTGGCGGTGCGCCTGCGCGATGCCGAACTCGCGCGCCGCAAACGTCATGGGGATGATGCCGACGAGGCCTAGCGACATGAACATCGCTGTGCGGAATGTCTTCCACTCGTTCGTGCGGCAGCGCGGCGTGATGATCAGCAGCGCGCAGCCAGCGGCAATGGTCGAGATCTGCGCCGTCAGTGATGAACAGAAACGTACCAAAACGCGGCTTAGCCGTACATACCAGGAAGACGTAGAAGCGGTAGGTTGTCGGGCGGCAATAGTAGCCGTAGTAGACGCCGGGCACCCAGCTGCCGGCCGTCAGGCATAGGATGCCCAGGAAGTCCATGAACAGCCAGCGCTCATGGGCGTCGAGCGAGTGGTTCGAGAAGGTGTGGAAGGCGGTAGAGAAGGCGAAGCAGAGGAATGCGCCGCCGAAGAAGCAGCCAAAGACGACGAGGTCTTCGTGTGTCGCTGAGACGTAGCGCTCGGCCAGCGCGTCCCATACGCCGCGTGCTGCGACGACAAAGACCACCAGCCCTAGCAGGTGGCTGTAGATGTTGACGGTTTGGTTGTGCAGCGAGCCCAGACTCGCCAGCGACTTTTGATAGGAGTAGCTCAACGGCCTGTATCCGCTGACAATGTACTCATTGTCCTGCTGCCAGGGGGGCAGCTCGTGCCAGCAGAGCAGCTGGGCGCCGTCTTTGGCCTCTGGCTTCGAGCTCTCAGCCGCCTTGTCCGCCTCTTTCGCCATTCTCGTGATGTCTACAGTTTTCCATTTCTCAGTGCAGTTGGGAGAGGAGGCATTGAGCTGTGGGTCCGGGGTCAGTGGATCCCGTTAAAACCGTTGAGCATTAACTAACCGAGTCATCCCCGGGGTGGCGTCGATTAATTTATTATATATTCGTGATGAAAATGACGCACATGGGCATGGGAATAGCACCCAATGCTCTAATGACCGTCGACGACCATTGTTCTATCCGGTAGTTTTGCCGTCAGCGGGTTCATGTGAGTCGACATCACGTTGTAGCCAAGTCTTACTCCGTAACCACCGTAACCACCCGTAGATCGTGGCGTGTCTGTGCTCGCATCCACAGCATCCGGACGGATCTGTATTGAGTAATACGTATATTGACCATAAGAGATGACAGAAGCTAGGAGTATGAGTACTTCGTTCTAACGATGAACACAATTTTATCCTACCGTGACAAAGCTATCTGGCTGGCCTGCGCAGGTTCGCTGCTCGGCCGCGCCATGCAAAGACTATCGTATCTTCGTGGGTATCATCCGGACCAGCCCAGGTCCGGCAAAAGGAACCAAAACGCCGTACCTAACCCAAGCCGAAAGTCCATTTTCACCATAAACAGCAGCCAACAGTCCGCCTTGTACACACTCACTCCGAACTCCCCACACTCCTAGCCACCCTCTTCCTGCCATTGTCGCCCCTCTTGGCCGCCTTGGCCTTCCTGCCCGATGGCGGCGTAGGCGGATTATTCCCGTCCCTGGCATCGCGCTGTGCCTGCTGCTGCGTCTGCTGGTTGGCGCCGCTGTCGTTCTCCCACTCGGGCTCCGAGCTGTCCGAGTCGAAGCCCGCTACGATCTTCTCGAAGTGCAGGCGCGTCTGGGGGATCGACTGCTCAGCGTCAGTCAGTCAGTCAGTCAGTCAGCTAGTCAGGCAGGCAGGCAGGCAGGCAGTCAAGCTGAGCTGCGACGGGACGATGGGCTTTCGCGGAACGTGGCGGAGACGCACCTCGTTGCGCGCCGCGGCGTGCCAGATTAGCATCTCGTTGCTCTCGAGGATGCGCGCGGCCTTGTAGCGGCGCTCGCGCTCCTCGAACGTCTCATCGCGAGCCAGTGCCAAGCGGTTGGCGCCCTGGTGTGCGGCGGCCGTGCGGCTCGCGCCTGGGCGAGATTCCTGGTGGATATAGGTTGGGCGGTTGCGCGCTTGCCGGTCTTGCTGCAGCGGGGTGTACGGTGGATGGGCTGGTTGCGCGGTCGCCATTGTGTAGGTTGGGGTGGGTGCGAGGCTGGGAGCTAGGTGCAGCTTGACTGGCCTGCGGGCGAGTGGAGGTGGAGGTGGGGCCAGCCGGAGCGATACAACCCGCTCACCATCGGGAGTTTTGTAGTTCACAACAGCACACTAAGGCATTCTTTTGCGCACCCGCGTTACATAGATCAAATTTCATTCAATATGCACAATTTAAACCAACTCCGGGGTATTCCCAAATCCGATATCTACTGCTTGTCCGGGAAGCCAAAGTTGACGCCGAAAGCGGGGTAAATAAATCGCGTCAGACCCTTCTTCTTGTGGATGCTCTCCAGCGCCTCCATGTCCGAGTCATCTAGCTTAATGATGGCCCTGTTCTCTTCTATCCTAGATGGAGTGACCGACTTGGCGAGGACGGAGCTTCCACGAGCGACTGCGAGAATCAGCACCGATTGAGAAGAAGGGTGCCAGTTCACTTACCGTGGTAACTCAAAAGGACGGTACCGGGCGAGACCTTGTGCTTCTTTGCGACTTCGCTGACACCCTCCTCGCTGAACATGGGGCTGCCGGTGCTACCGAAAGGACTGTACGCAGTGACATGGATGCCCTTGGTCTTGCAGAAGTCGACAATCTCCTGCTGCGGAAGGTAGGGGTGGTTCTCAATCTGGTTGACAGCGGGAACGACGGTGGCCTCCGGGAGAAGCTTCTCCAGGTAGGGCACGCTGAAATTGGCGACGCCAATGGCCTTGACCTTGCCGGTCTGGAGCAGCTTCTCCATCTGCTTCCACGTGTCGATGAACGACCAGCTGTGGTCGATGTCGCGGGAACCATCGGGGAGCTTGGGGAACTTGGGGTCATTGCCTGACCGGTCAGCTGGAATTGAGGTAAGAGAGTAAGAGAAACAAACCCTTTGGGTTCATCGCAACGCCCCAGTGTCTGAATTGTTATGTTAGTCATGTCTCACGCCTCTAAATTTGGCTAGTCTGTCTACTCACATGAGATAGAGATCCACATAGTCGAGACCAAGGCTCTTCAAGCTCAAGTCGAGGTTCTCCTCCACTCTCGAGTGGTAGGTGCACCACAGCTTGGTGGTTATGAAGATGTCCTCGCGCTTGACGCCCGAGTCAAAGGCCTTCTTCAAGCCCTCGCCGACCTCGTCCTCATTGCCGTAGACATAGGCACAGTCAATGTGCTTGTAGCCGACAGACAGCGCGTGCGCAACGGCCTTTTGGACCTCACCGGGCTGGGATTGCCAGGTGCCGAGGCCCAGGGCGGGGATGGAGGCGCCGGTGTTGAGGGGAAGTGGGGTGTTCATGTCGGGCGAGGGGTCGATAATGCTAGAAGGAGTACGCTTGAGCATAAACTTTGCCAGCGAGGGGTTCATGGTGGGCGCGACTTATAAAAGGAAAAAAAGAGCAGAGCGTGTCGCGTCAATGCCTCCGCGAACCCCGCGCCTCCGCGAAAGTTCAAAGACCGAGCAGCCCCGCAATTGGCGTCATCGGACTGGGGCAGACGCCGAGACGGACAAACTTGCACCGCCAACTTCCTCCACGCCAAATAGGGCAATCTTCGAGAAACACCTTTGCCGCAACTCAGCCCTGCGAGCCTCGTCCCAAGACTGCCTCTCTGACAAACAACCCGACAACTCTCACGTGCTCACGCCGAAACGGGCATCTCGAAGCGACCTGCCGCCCCATCCATGCTTCTAGAAGACGTCTCCGCCAAGAAACAACATGACCGATCGTACTCCCGGACGCTAACGAAAAGCATTTTCCGAATCTCCAACCATCGCTGGCGGCACCTCTCACAACAGTGACCGTCTGGAGCAGCGTGACCCGACTTGCGGTCAGACCGGGGCGGACTTGCCCCCAAAGAGCGGAGGGAGCGGGGGAGGCGGCCTGAGCCATCCACGGGCGTCGCGTTGTCCCTGACAAAGACTGTGGGGTGCGTGGAGAGGTGACGCTGGGAACCTGTTCCCAGCGCACCTGCAGTCCGGAGAACCTGGCCACCGCCCTACCTGCCTTGTCTGGCCAGTCGGAGAAAGGTACACGCGATTTAGAGCTTCAATATGATATTTAAACACGCTCAGAACCAGTCTCATCTTTCCTCATCGCATCATCTCAGTCTTCTCTCAGTCCTGCATTCCTAGTCTTCTCAGCCCTCCGTTTTCAGTCTCCTCAGCCTTTACTTAAGATACCCACCACAATGGCTCCCGCAGCAATCGTCGAGCATGGCACCCACCATGCCGTGGAGCAACCCAATATCAACGAGAACTTCAATAGCCACAAGGACGGCCTAGCCCTCGAGGCACTGTCGGACGACATTGACGATGTCAACGTCCTCAAGGCGGCCTTGAAGGTCAAGCAGGGCAACGCCACGCAGAAGGAAAAGGACATCTACGAGAAGTCGCAATTTGACGCGGAAAAGGACAAGACGCAGTTCCGGCAGTACGAGGCGGCGTGCGACCGCGTCAAGAACTTCTACCGCGAGCAGCACGAGAAACAGACGGTGGCGTACAACCTCAAGGCGCGCAACGACTTCCTCTCCAAGACGCGGGCCGAAATGACCGTGTGGGAGGCCATCGAGCGCCTCAACACGCTCATCGACGAGTCGGACCCCGACACGTCCCTTTCCCAGATCGAGCACCTGCTGCAGACGGCCGAGGCGATCCGCCGCGACGGCAAGCCGCGCTGGATGCAGCTGACGGGCCTGATCCACGACCTGGGCAAGCTGCTGTTCTTCTTTGGCGCCAAGGGGCAATGGGACGTCGTGGGCGACACGTTCCCGGTGGGCTGCGCGTTCGACAAGCGCATCATCTATCCGGACACGTTCAAGGGCAACCCGGACCACGACGACGAGATCTACAGCACCGAGCACGGCATCTACACGCCGGGCTGCGGGCTCGACAACGTGATGCTCTCGTGGGGCCACGACGAGTACCTCTACCACATCTGCAAGGAGCAGTCGACGCTGCCCGACGAGGGCCTCGCCATGATCCGCTACCACTCGTTCTACCCCTGGCACCGCGAGGGCGCGTACGAGTGGATGATGAACGACAAGGATTACAAGATGCTGCAGGCCGTGCGGGCCTTCAACCCCTACGACCTCTACAGCAAGAGCGACGACATGCCCAAGGCAGAGGAGCTCAAGGTGCGTCTCTCCATTATTAATCTACTAGCTGAGCAAAAAACACTAACGCACTGCAGCCCTACTACATGGAGCTTATCAACGAGTACTTCCCCACCAAGGTCATCAAGTGGTAGAACGACGGGGAACGAAAAACGAAACGACAGTCACGGGACCAGCGGATTCTGGAGTTTGGGGTTTTTATAATGGGATATCACGACACCAGCACGCTGCAAGAGCAGCCGTATAAAGTCACAATTGCTACTCTGCCTGGCACAGGCTTTTAAGTTACCTTGTCGTCTGTTGGATTCAGTGAATACATGCAATGCTACAGAGCCGCACACACCTGCAGCCTCTCCACCCCCCTCAAAATAGCAGCGTGCAACCGCACAAGCTATGCAGCCAGCCCTATCACGATCCACGACATGATACCCGCCCGTTGCTGATCCGGATCGATGTGCTGCTGCTGCTGCTGCTGCTGCACATCGCACGGCACGAGCCAGCACCTCATTACGCACTGCGCCATCGATCGCAGCCAGGCCGTACCATACCATACCAGACGAAAGCAAAGCAAAGCAAACCTCTCTCTCCTTCCTTTCTTTGGATAAAGAGAATACGGCGTGCCTACTTCGCTGCGGCGGCGGCGGAGAGGGGATATTGAAAATGATAGATGAATAAAAAACCAATAAACAAAATAAAAATCAAATATTAACAATGAATTATAAAACAATTGCGGCAGCTTAAACCATCCAACCACCCGACCCCAGCGCAGAACCACCAGCCTACCTACCTGCTTATTGCACACCACGCACGCGCACGCGCATGCGCACCATGACCTGCCCCGCCAGGCCGTCGTGGCACCTGTGTGACGTACCTACTCAAGCCAGCCTAAGCCTAGCCCAACTTAACTTAACGCGCGAGCGTGGGCCCGTCCTGTCCCACGCCGGACGGGCGCGCCGCCCAGCCAACGGCATTAGCATGCACATCTAGCGCGGAAGAGAGGAAATGAGAGGCTGCGCAAAACACCTAGGTAGGAGAAGGAGGCACGTCAGCGGCAAGCGTACAGTACAGTACAGTACAGTACCTACGTGCAAGGATAGGGAGGTAACTACCTAGAGTACCTACCTACGGAATGACTTTCGGGAGCCGATTCCCGACCGGTCACCGGCCGGCAGGCAGGCGGGCAGGCATAGGTTGTTTTCCCGGGTCCTGGGTCCCGAGTCTTGAGTTTTGAGTCTTTTGACTCCCAGCAAGTAATTAACTAACTAGTTGGGATGCATGCGTGGCAGAAGGATAGGTGTGTGTGTGTGTGTGTGTGTGTGTGCGCGAGTACTCTGCTGCTCTACCTACTCTACTCTATCCTACACAACTCAGCTCCAGGCAGCGGACAGCAGTCTGGCGGGCAGGTCGCGGCGGTGTAGAGTATTGTAGAGTATTTCATGGTGTGCTCATAGGGTGTAGGGCGCGGGTACCTACCTACCTACCTACCTACCCACCTACCCGCCCCCATAGGCGAGTATCTCCCTTTCGGGCGTGCGCTAATCCGGGAGGGGAAGGAGGGGCACGTGATGGCGTGTTGAGTAGGTGCGTACGGCAGGGTTGGATTATCAAATACGCAGTTGGACTATCAAATAGCTACGAAAAGAGATAAAAAAGACAACCCAACATGAGGCGAACGCAACCGAAGAACCGACAGGCGCGCACGCCTCACCGACCCATCCACCCCCCATCCACCGTCACCACCTCCCCACTAACATACCCGGCGGCAGGACTTGCCAAAAACACGACCGCGCCCTTAAAGTCGTCTGGATTCCCCCACCTACCAGCCGGAATGCGCGCCAAAATCGCCTCCGCACGCTTCTCATCCTCCATCAACGCGGTATTCATCTCGGTCGCAATATAGCCCGGCGCGATGGCGTTGACGGCAATGCCCTTGCCCGCCCACTCGTTGCTCAGCGCCTTGGTCAACTGCGCGACGCCGCCCTTGCTGGCGGCGTAGGCGGGCACCGTGAAGCCGCCTTGGAAGGACAGCAGGCTGGCGACGTTGATGATGGCGCCGCGGCGGCCATTCGAAGTTGCGTCCAGGGGCCGCGCCAGCATGTGCGCGCCCACGTCCCGACACAAAGTGAAGACGGTGCGCAGGTTGACCTGCAGGACGGCGTCCCAGTCGGCGTCGGGGAACTGGTGCGCGGGATGCCGGCGCTGGATCCCCGCGCAGTTCAGCAGGATGTCGATGCGCTGCTGCGCGTCTTGGGTGATGGAGGGGATGAGCGCGGCGACGGAGGCGGGGTCAGCCAGGTCCGCCGTGTAGATTGTTGCTTTGCGGCCGAGGGCCTCGATTTGGGCTTTTGTGGCCGTGTTGGACGTGTCGCGCTGTGGTGGGTGTTAGTGGGTTTGTTTATGTGGCATGCAATGCTCTTTTGGGGCAGTGGATAATGCTATACGCACTTGCACGAGCAGGATGTCCGCGCCGGCTTCTGCCAGTGCGATGGCCATGGCTTGCCCGATTCCTCGGGTGCCGCCTGTCACGAGAGCGGTCTGGCCGTGGAGCGAAAACAGCTGTTGGACGGAAGTCATGGCTGCGGTGTGGTGGGATGCAGTAGTCTGGAGACGTTCGGCGGCCATTGCCAGGATTAAAAATAAAAAAAAGTGTTCGAGCGACAAGCGTTGGGGCCCCCCACTCGTGATGGCTGAGGGCGGGGGAGGGCGGGGTGTGGGGTCGTCGGCGTTTGACCCAATTGCCGACCTGCTCTCTTCGGACACGCGCCCTGGATATTGCTTTCCGTCAAGTCACTCTTTACTTTTCTCCTTCTTCTCTTTCCTCCTCCAACCTCAGTCTTCTTCGATACCCCTCGCACATCTATACCCCACCATGTCCACCACGCAAACCCAGCAGCAGATCCGCGCCTCCGTCCTCCACGGCGCCAAAGACCTGCGCGTCGAAAACCGCGCGCTGCCCGCGCCGGCGCCGCACGAGCTGCAAGTCGCGGTGCGGGCGACGGGCCTTTGCGGCTCGGACCTGCACTACTACAACCACTACCGCAACGGCGACATACAGTGCCGCGAGCCCATGTCGCTGGGCCACGAGTCGGCGGGCGTCGTCGTGGGCGTGGGCGCCGAGGCAGGCGACTTCCGCGTCGGCGACAAGGTCGCGCTCGAGGTCGGCTTGCCCTGCGGCGACTGCGCCCGCTGCAAAGAGGGCCGCTACAATATCTGCAAGGGCATGAAGTTTCGCAGCTCGGCCAAGGCGTTTCCCCATGCCCAGGGCACGCTTCAGGACAGGATTAACCACCCCGCTGCGTGGTGCCATAAGTGGGTTTCCAGAGCAGTAGAAGCAGGACAAGCTGAAGAACGCTAACTAACGTCTCCAGGCTTCCCGAGAACCTCTCACTCGACCTCGGTGCGCTGCTCGAGCCGCTCGGCGTCGCCATCCACGCCACGCGCCGCGCACAGCTTCCCCCGCTCAGCACGGTGCTAGTCTTCGGCGCCGGCGCCGTAGGCCTGCTCGTGGCCGCCATGGCGAAGATCTCGGGCGCCGGCACAGTCGTCATCGCAGACATTGACTCGGGCCGCGTCAACTTCGCTGTGGAAAACGGCTTCGCGCACGCGGGCTTCACGGTGCCGCTGAAGCGAGGCAAGGACGTCGACGAGAACCTCGAGATTGCGCGCGAGACGGCCGCAGCAGTTGGCGCGGTGAAGAAGAGCGCCGGCGAGCCCGTCGGCGAGGTCGATGCCGTTTTCGAGTGCACTGGTGTGCCCTCGTGTGTGCAGGCCGCCATCTATGTATGCATGCATACCCCGCCCCTGCACCCTTCTCAACACTGACACGGCGCCAGGCAACCCGGCCCGGGGGCCGCGTCCTCCTCATCGGCATGGGCACGCCCATCCAAACACTGCCCATTTCGGCGGCTGCGCTGCGCGAAGTCGACCTAGTGGGCGTGTTCCGGTACGCCAACACGTACCCGACGGGCATCGAGGTGGTGTCGAAGCCAGCGGGGCCCGACTACCCGAACTTCTCGAAGCTGGTGACGCACCGGTACAAGGGGCTCGACGCGATCCCGCAGGCGTTTGAGATGGCGGGCAAGACCAAGGACCCGGACGGCCGGCTCGTGCTCAAGGTCGTTGTCGAGATGGATGGCTCGCAGGTGTGAACATCATTGCCAACCCGGCTCGCGTGCGTGCGTTTGGCGCTAACCTACCTGTGGCCGCGTAGGCCGAGGCTAGGCCGAGGTTGTGAAGTAAATGTTGAGGAGCTCATGGAGGCTGCGGTTGGAACGAAGGCGTCGAGGAGTCTGTGTTGGCTGGGTAAAAGTGTAGATGAAGGATATGAGCCAGATAATGTCGCCTTTTTGAATAATACGCCTGGAGTTTTCGATCTTGATCATGAGTCTCTTGGATGCCATTGAGCAATGCCTTCATGTGCCATTGAGCGACCATGACACGACAGCCGGTGTCCAACTCCACGGCATCATGTCGCCAACGCGCAAAAACGTCGACAAGCTAGCTAGGTAGGTAGTACGGCCAAGCAGCTGCAGAGCTAGCTACCTACCTACTCCGCCGACAGCGCGCCAAAGACACCTACAACAGGCAACAGCAGCAGGTCAAGCCCACCTTCCTCGCGCGACGACTACAGCAAGTGACAGCAACGACAGCAACGACGGGGCGGAGTTAAGCAGGAGTTTACCTAGCGGGCGGAGGGCGGTCGCGGAAAAGCAGGCTGGGAATGAGATCCCGAGTTGCGAGGGAAAGAGAACCCGGACCGCCACGACCTGGCGCGCGCGGGCGGTGAGGGCGGAAGTGTGGGGGAGAGGTCGGGATATGGACGACTTATAAGGGCCGCTGCGGTCACTGCTGCTGTGGTCGAGCTTGCCATTGAGTCCTCCTCTGCCCTTTCTCTCTCTCTCTCTCTCTTCCGGGTCTCTCTTGCGCTGCGAGATCTGTTTTGGCCGTGTGGCTGTTTGATACTAAGGTGCGTTGGCGTTGCTGTCGTCTACAACGCCTATAGAAACGCCGCTTCTTCCACACACGCACACACACACGCACACGCACACGCACAAAGACAGCATGGCCCCCCGCAAGCTCAAAATCGCCATCTCGGGCCTCGGCCGCATGGGCGCGCGTCACGCCATCAACTTCCACACGCGGACGCCGCGGTGCGACGTCGTTGCGGCCTTCACGCCGGACGCCAAGGAGGCGGCGTGGGCGGCGCAGAACCTCGAGGGCGTCACCGTCTACGACGACTACGACGCCATGCTGCGGCACCAGGGGCTCGAGGCCGTCGTCGTCGCTACCGTCACTACTGCCCATGCTGAGCAGGCTATCAAGGCCATTGAGGCGGGCAAGCACGTCATGTGCGAGAAGCCCCTGAGCACGAGTATCGAGGTGGTGAGTCTTTAGATATCCCCGTTGTATGGCATGGCATGCCGTGCGTGGACATGAGAGCTGATGGTGCGCGCGCAGTCCCAATCGGTCGTCGACGCCGCGGACAAGCGGCCCGACCTGAAGGTGCTGTGCGGCTTCTCGCGGCGCTTCGACGCCAGCTACCGCGACGCGTACGAGCGGATGAAGACGGGGGGCATTGGCAAGCCGTCGGTGTTCCGCAGCCAGACGTGCGACAAGCTGGACCCGTCGGGCTTCTTCGTCGAGTACGCGCGCTTCTCGGGCGGCATCTTTGTCGACTGCAACATCCACGACATTGACCTGGCGCTGTGGTACTTTGGGCAGGACTGCAAGGTCAAGTCGATAGTGGCCATGGGCATCACGGCCGTCGAGCCCGACCTGCGCAAGTACAACGATGTGGACAACGGCGTCGGCGTCGTCGAGTTCTGGGACGGCCGCATCGCCTACTTCTACTCGTCGCGCATGATGGCCGCCGGCCAGCACGACATGAGCGAGATCATCGGCACGGCGGGCAAGATCGTCGTCAACGCCAACCCGCAGTCGAACCTGGTCGAGCTGCACGAGCCCGCGGGCATCCGCCGCGAGATCCCCGGCCACTACTACGGCCGCTTCGAGCAGGCCTTCGTCACCGAGGCCAACGAGTTCGTCGCCGCCTGCCTCGACGACACCGAGCTCCCCTTCAAGGTCTCGGGCGCTGTCCAGGCCGTCAAGATCGGCTGCGCGCTGCAGGAGAGCTTGAACTCGGGCAAGAAGATCTTCTTCGACGAGTCGGGCCGCCGCATTGAGAAGGCCAACTTGTAGGCGTGCCAGAGATGCGCCACAGGTGGTTCATGGTCCATACCACAGACGAGCCTGCAAGCTGGCTCACAGGGCCCGCATCCCAGCCATATACATACGTTCCTCGTAGGAGTAGCGAAACACCCGTCCGCCATTCGAGTAAAAATGCCACGAGCTCAAGACGATAGACTCCGCTTAGTTGTGTTAGGTTAGGTTCAGTGCTGTGAGGAAAAGAGGAGGGAGGGAGGGGGCGCCGCGGCGCGCGCGTGCGCGTACAGTACAGTGCATACAGGACCTAGAACAAGCAGGTAGTAGTTAGATTCCATTGACGGACGGACGGACAGACCAAAATGAAGAAGTGCCGTAATGCCACGCCACGCCACGTCTTCTTGCCTCTTTTGCGCCGCGTCGTGCCGTCTTGCCTGTCCTGTTGTGTCGCCATCTCTGGCCGTGACCTAATCGCCTAGGTAGTCAAGTTGGGCCGACGGGCCTGCCTGCCCTGCCTGTCCTGTTGGAGAAGGAGAGCTTCATGTCTTGAAAAGACCACCTACCTACTTTCCTGCCTTGTGCCTTGTTTTGTCGGTGAGAAGACGCTGGATGCGTGAGCTGCGCCCACAGCGCTAGTGTCAGCGCCGGCGATGGGTCTGTCAAGGAGGTAGGTAGGCTTTGATGTCAATGAGGCAGGTAGGCGGGGTAGGTAGGTAAGCAAGATAAGCAACCTATAAGCAACAAGCAAGTCCAGAGCCCGCCGGTGTAATAGGCAAGCGGCAAGCGGCACAATAAAGATCACAAATGCACCACGCCTAAGTAGTCAATGCACAGATATGGGAGCCAAGTCTATTCACATTGACAACAACAATGACAAGAAAAAAACATGCATGATAATCTACATAACCTCGTCCCTGCGCATCCCGTGATTCCTGCCAGCAAACCCACTCCTGGCATGCCCATCTACACATCGACCAAGTTCTCCTCGCCCTGCTGGGCCTGCTCGGGCTCCGCATTGTCGCGGGTGTCCTTGTTACCGCGGCGGGCGCGCTTCTCCTCGGCGCGGCGCTGGTAGAACTGGTCGAGCACCTTGGCGGGGATGCGGTTGAGCAGGTCCTTGGGGTAGATGCGCAGCAGCGACCACGCCAGGTCCAGCGACTCGTAGATGGTGCGCGCCTCGTACGGCGACTGCGAGATGAACGTCTTCTCAAACTTCTCCAGGAACTCTAGCGACAGCTTATCCTCCGACGACAGCGCCTCCTCACCCACGACCGCCTTCATGGCCGCCGCGTCACGACCAATGGCGTACTTGGCGTAGAGCTGGTTGGACACGTCGCCGTGGTCCTTGCGCGTGCGGCCCTCGCCGATGGCCGACTTCATCAGACGCGACAGCGACGGCAGCACGTTGATGGGCGGGTAGACACCCTTGTTGTACAGTTGACGGTCAATGAAGATCTGGCCCTCGGTAATGTAGCCCGTCAAGTCGGGAATGGGGTGGGTGATGTCTGCGGGCGTCAGCATAAAAAATATTCCTGACCACTGGCTTTGTTGCTCACTCACCATCGTTAGGCATGGTCAGAATGGGGATCTGGGTGATGGAGCCGTTCCTGCCCTCGACACGACCGGCACGCTCGTAGATGGTGGACAAATCAGTGTACATGTAACCGGGGTAACCACGACGACCGGGCACTTCTTCACGAGCGGCCGAAACCTCACGCAAGGCATCGCAGTACGAGGACAGATCCGTCAGGATGACCAGAACATGCTTCTCGAGCTGGTAGGCGTAGTACTCGGCGGTGGTCAGGGCCAGACGAGGCGTGATGATACGCTCGATCCTGCTCAGGTCAGCGCCTTGCTCATAATTTCACCATATTTCTTTTATTCTTTTTTGGAGACTTACGTAGGATCGTTGGCCAAGTTCAGGAACAGCGTGACACGTTCCATGCTGCCGTTCTCCTCAAAGTCCCTCGTGAAGAAGCGGCTCGTCTCCAAGTTGACACCCATGGCACCGAACACGATGGAGAAGTTGTCCTCGTGGTCGTCGTGAATGCCCTTCGTCGGCTTGACCAAGCTGGCCTGCCTACAGATCTGCGCGGCAATTTCGTTGTGGGGGAGACCGGCGGCCGAGAAGATGGGAATCTTCTGTCCACGGGCAATCGAGTTCATCGTGTCAATGGCGGAGATACCCGTCGAGATCATTTCCTCGGGGTAGACCTGGTTTGTTAGAGAGTGCCTCTGGCAATGGACATTCGTAACTTACACGAGAGTAAGGGTTGATGGGAGAGCCGTTGATGTCCAGGTACTCCTCCGCCAGGACCTTCGGGCCCTTGTCGATGGCACGACCCGAACCATCGAAGATACGACCCAGCATGTCCTCGGACACACCAAGCTTCAAGCTGTGGCCGGAGAACTCGACTTTGGTCTGCAGCCGTTAGCCTAGGCCTCGCACGCGCGACGCGGTACTGACCTTCTTGACATCGATGCCCGAGGTACCTTCAAACACCTTACCAATGTCAGCCACACCCAGACAAAGCGTCATAGCGTCCTCCTACCTGAACGACGGCACGGTTGCCTATTTCCAATGTCAGCCGTCATCTAACTATTTGTGTGTGTGTCCATCTGCCATACCTCTCGCCTCCAGAACCTGACCAGACCGCTCAGTGCCATCGGGCAGCGTCAACGAAACGATTTCGTTGAACCTCGGGAATTTGACCTGGACGCGGGCACATCAGCTCCAAGTCGTGGGTGGGTTTGGTGGCAGCGTCGACAGACATTCTCGAGAATGACCAATGGACCGTTCACACCGCCGATGGTGTTGTAACGTATCCTAGGCTTGACGGACATCATGCGGGGATCGACGGTTTCGGGAGCCATGGCTGCGACGGGGGACAGGGCCGAGTTGGGGGGTATCGAGAGGTGGCGGAGAGAGAGGTGTGGTGAAGGGTCGCAGCTACGGGCCTGCGATCGTTGCTGGGATGTGGAGGCGCAGGTACGCAGGTGGTGGGCAGCAGCTCGAGTTCGACGTCGGACGTCACGCACAGGGCACGCGGACAAGGAATAACGTAAGCCTCAGGCCGCGATAAGATCGAAGCTAACACCGCCAGCTCATCCAGGTCATTTCGTAATACAGTGTCAAGGCTCATGCTCTAAGGTGAGTATGCGCTGGGCGCTCTGGAGAGCACACGTCTGTCGACGCGAGCTAATTCGCACACACGACCAAGCAGCCCATTTCACGTAGGCCCACGTAGTTATTTTGGAGCGAAATTAGCAAAGACGACCCCAGACACGACAAGACGAGACGACCTTATAGACTCGACGGCTAAACCCCGGGACGGCTAGGCCAGATTGGGCTGGGGTCCGCCTGACGGGGAGAGTCGACAGGCCTGCCAACGACACCACAACTCGAACCAGCCCATCACCCCGACCGCATCACGCCCAGACCCGCTCCTTCCACTCGTCGGGATCGACTTGGCATGGCGCCGCCGCCTCTTGCGTCTCTCTGATCCCGTTACACCATCCATTGCGCCCGGCAATCCCACTCAGTCGTTCCCTTTGCGCGCCCTCCCACCTCACCGGCGGATGCGCGACGCATTACGTGTGTCTCCCACGCGACGCCTGCCCGACCCCAAGCCGTAGCGCTACCTCGAGAATTACGCGTGTCGCCTGCATCGCGCACTTGTCCGGATCGTTTCACTCTGTCATCTGCTGACCTCCGATCGCAAGTCAGCACCGGCACTTGCCGCGCGCCGTGGTACCCGTGTTGCATCGCAGGCCCTTCGACGAACTCATTTCGTCGCCTTCACGCTGCGCCTGCAATCCGCTTCGCCTCCTTTCGACGGCGTTGCGCGGCTCCGCCACGCCCCTCCACGCTCGTCGAGTCGCCAAGCGAGGTCGGGTCCCGCAATTGCATGACGTCTCGCTCGGCCCACGCCTGAGGATACTTTTGGAAGCGCCTTTGCAGACGGAGTTTTGATCGCGTCGAGAGCCTGGTGCTAGCTACGCTACTGGACACACGCGCACGGCCGAGGGGTCGCTCTCTGAAGGCCACGGGAGCCAGATCGCGAAGCCGACCTTCTAGGGCGGCGACGTGATGATGATGGCCTCCACCTATCCAGGACATCACGCTGGCGGCCTTCAGCAACCCGGCATGGCTCATGCCCACCCTATGGGCCCCGGACCGGGCCCCAATCCCGGACAGCCCATGGGACAACCGATGCAGATGCATCCTGGCGTGTCTGGCCCGAACGGTCCGCACGTCACTCAGGCTGGCCCGATGATGGGCATGCAGCCGGGTGTTGGAGGCCCGGGAGTGGGACCCAACGCGCATGCGCTATCACACCTCACTCCGCAAGCCCACATGTTTCACCAGCAACAACAGCAGATGCAAGCTTGTAAGTGAACCCATCCTCCTTGCGCGCGCCATCGCTGCTAATATTTAAAAACAGTCGCAAACAACCCAGCGCTCGCAATGCAGCGGCAGGCCATGTTGCGCCAACAAGCTCAGCAGCAACATATGATGCAGCAACAGCAGAACGGAATGGCCATGGGCTTTCCCAATGGCGGGAACCAGGCGATAACGCCGCAACAGATGGCAGCAATGCAAGCCGGCAACCCTCAATTTCAGGTTAACCTGCCGCCGCATATGCGTCAGCAGCTGGCCCAGCAACAGCAAGCCATGCAAGCACAACACAATCAAGCGCAGCAACACGCGCAACAACAGCAGGCCATGGCTCAACATATGGCTATGCAGCACGCTGCATCGCAGCAGAGCAATTCGGGACAAGGTGGTCCCCCGAGTCAGCAAGGTTCCCAAGGCCCACCGGGCCAAATGAGACCGCAACCGCCCATGCAGCCAGGGCACGAAGCGCAAGCTTCGCCCGCGCAGCCACCGAGCCAACATCACACTCCGCAGCAGACGCAATCTCAACCGCACCCTCCACCCCAGCCTGCACCGACCCCCCAGCAGCAAAACCCCCAGCCACCGGGGCCACCCCAGCAGCCGCCGCCGCAACAACAGCCGCAGAACCCACAGCAGTTGCAACAGCAGCGGCAACAACAGCAGGCCATGGCGCAACGGCAAACAATGATGCAGCAGCAGGCTCAAGCTCAGGCGCAAGCTCAAGCCCAAGCCGCAGCACAGGCGCAGGCGCAGGCGCAGGCGCAGGCTCAGAACAGGATGTACGGGACGACTATACTCAAATTATTACAGCTCGCAGACCATTTGAGTCGTTACTCGGTAAGTACACACCTCTATTTATCGCTTTTCGCCGCTGATTTGTGTAGGCGGTTCGGCAGGCAAACGCGTTAGAAGGTTGGAAAGCTTTCGTCTCGCGCTTTTTCTCCGAAGACGGTGTCTTCAAACAATCATTGCTGGACTACGCGCCCACCATGGCTCCTAGCCCCAGGCCACCCCAACCAAAGAACTTTGAGATATGTTATCCGTCGATAGCTCGATACTTCTACACGCAGTTTCAGTGTGGCGTCGAGAACATACAGATGACGATAGATGGAGCCCAGGAGAAGGAGTTCGGGACCAACTGTCACTACGTGGAAAGCAATCGGGCCAAGTTCATCTACTGGTACAGGAACGGGTGCCAGGTACGTACCTCGATGAGCCTCTTTCAAGCGGTCGCTAATGCAGAATAGGTTGTGAGCACCGGCAAGCTCAGCGCGACGTTTGACCAAGAGGACAAGATCACATTGCTCGTCTTCGAGACGCAAGACCACTCGCAGTACCTGCCACGCGCGGCCATTGACAGTCTCTTCGCCCACAAGTCGCCAATGCAGAATCAGTCACCTAAGATGAGCAAGAAGAACGCGCCCAACCAGAGGAACCGGCAGGCGCCCGAGGCCAGCTTGGTCAAGGACGATTTACCCGAAGCACCTGTGTCGACCTGGGGCGTTCCGGACCCCGTCCTCCAGTTCCTAGAAGTAGGTGCCATAGACTCCGCTACGCCGAGCATAATTTCACCTAACCCAAGACTGCAGGTCAGCGAGACTCTGTATAATATGCAGGAACTCTTCGCTCACTACCACACGAATCCTGGCAACACGCCGTCACAAGCCATGAACAGTTTGGTCGCGTCGCTGAAACCTCAACAGATGCAGCCCGGCCTGCCACCGAGCCATCTCCAGCAACACCCGAATCCAAACCCGCAGATAAACGTTCCGCCAAACGCCCAGGGAAACCCTGGCAACCTTCCACCAGGAGCGCGCACGCCTTCCGGAACCATGATCCCGGGAAACCCCAACATGCAGCCTCAGCACCCTAACCAGCAATTCATGTCTCCCCACATTGCGAATCTGCAGTTTCCTGGAAACCTCAACCCGGCCGTAAACGGTTCGCCTCATCTGGCCGGTCAGACGCATACCCCTTCTCCCGCGATGGCGCACATGGCAGCGCCGGGGCTTGTGGCGCAGCACAGCCAGCAAGGGCACAACAGCGCAGGACAGAGCGCAAACACCAGCCCTAGCGTTAGCAACAAGAGACGGCGGGCCTCGGTCAAGCAGGAAACCGATGACGGCGGCGGAGACATGAACGGGGGCGCCGCCAAGGTCAAACCGAGCCCGAGAATGGCCAACAACAGCAAGAGGGTCAAGGGCAACCCGAGTTGATGGCTCGCACGCGTCGCCACGACAAAAAGCTTCGCTCAAGCCTCCGCGGGACGAGTTGATGATAACGGATCAAGAAGAAAAGTTCTGAGCCGGCGCGGACGGCGCGCCGGCTTGATAGAGACGGGAGGGCCGTGGCGCCGGCGGCCATCACGCGCGGGTGTGTTGCGGGATCATCATAGGATACCCCAGCCTGCGAGACGGCGCGCGGTGGGAGGCCGCGGGGCCAGGTTCAGGAGTTGGGCCAGGAGGGCGCGGCGGATCGAGTTTCTGTTCATCTTGGGTATAGCTTGCATGACATTTGGCAAGCGGCGTGGGGTTTACGGGACTTGATGATTGTTGTGCATTTTTTGTCGCTTTTCCGTTTTCCTCGTGTCCGAGCTTGCAGGAGTGGTGTTTATTTCCCTTTTTTTTTACTTGGTTTTCTTTCCTTTATTGCTTGCTTGTTAGCCTGATGCAAAGCTGCCGAGAGTCGAGCGTGGGCGTTAGTCGGGGCCTCTTGGGGCCACGGATCTATCCATGCCTCTTTATTGCTACATAATCGGGGCGAGGGTAGTCGGTCTTGTATATTAGGCGACATGCGAAGGCGCGCGCCGGGCTTGGCGCTCACGAGTGGTATCTACCTGTGCTAGTGTTTCGTGATGATGTGCTGCGGTGCGGGCCGCAGAAGGAGTCGTTCGAGAGTGGAGCGGGGAAGCCGGCCACTGCACGTACCGGGGGGGCTCGCCGCAGAGCCGCATCGTTAGTACCCACTACCCGCCCCGAGCTGCTGCTGCCAACTGCTCCCGCTCCCACCGGCGCGCACCATGTGAAGCGCTTCCTATAAATCGCGCCGACGCCCTCGACAATTGCCCGCTCGTGCATTGCGATCATTTCCCGCCACGCTACGACTGCCACCTCTGCTACAGAGCCGACCTGCCCGACCAGTAAGCCCCCCGTCACCTCGCCTGCAGCCCTGTGGCCCGGCAAGGCTGAGGGTAGAGAAATGCTGACGCCTGCGCTGCAGTGGACGACAGTGCCCCCGCCCCGCCGCATCGCTCCTTGGCCCCCGGCCTGCAGCAAGCCGCCTACCAGAACCCGCTGGCCTTGTGGTCCAGCGACTCGTCCGGGGGCCTGACGGAGCGCCTGGCTGCACACTACTCATTGCCCGTTGTGCCGCACACCAGAGACGGCCGAGACGCCGATCAAGGCGACGACGACGACGGATACCTTTTCGACGACACGGCCTGCCCGACTCTCTCGTCGATGGCGCCCGGCTCCCGCGCCACTCAGACGCTGTCCATGATCAGCCAAACCCAACCCTCACATCGCACCACTACCACGACGGCCTCGGCCTCTGACTCAATCTCGCTGCTCTCGTACGAAGCCCCTCCCTCGCTCGCCTCGACGAGCGTGTCCTCCCGCCCCGACAGCTCTGTCGACACCGCTTTGGCGAGCCTGGTTCCAGGCTACGACTTGCTAGAGGAAGGCCCAGATGCCGTGCTGTACGCGCCCACGGCCACCAGCCCCGAGACGCGCCTATTGCCCGTCTACGAGTGTAGTTTCGACTTCTTACGCTGCCGCCAGGCTTACAGCGCGGCGAATGTACCAGACCCAGAACGCGCATGGCGCACCCACGTTCTCTCTCACTTTGGAGGGCAGCCACCCCCGCGCTCAGTGCGCTGTCCGCTGTGCGATAACTTTGAGTACACGGACCAGACGCCCGGTCGTGCCTGGGAAAAACGTATGACGCATATTGCGGAGCACCATCGCGCCGGGCACACGTTGGCTACGGCGCGCCCGGACTTTCACCTCTACCAGTATCTCTGGCAGAAGCGCATTATTGATGATGCGGAGCTGAAGGAGCTCAAGGGCGGCAGTGCGACAGTGAGCGGCAACGGCGGTGGGACGTTCCATCGCACCCAAGGTAGCCGTGTTGATGAGCGGACACGCCGGCGTCCGCTGCACCCCCGCCGCTGATCGTGAGTTAATGCCGCTCGTCTCCAACGTCTGGCTTGCGGATGGGCCAGCTGTTTCGGTGCGAGCACTGCTCCCTTTCATGTTTTTCTTGTCCCTTCGATTGTGCAGAAATTGATATACCCACACCTACTTCGTTACGGCCTCAGTTCGGATACCCCATTTGCCCCTTTCTATTCCCAAAATCACTGTATTTCTTCCAGCGCTTGGAATGTCAGCCAGGCGGGGAGCCAGCCCAGAAGTTGGTACGCAGACATCTTGTTCTGCTTGTCCTTTTCAGATATACACGTACACTTATTCGTCTCCTGCTATCTCACCTCTTGACGCATTCGTCTTGGCTTTTTTCTCATCTATGCATGTAGTGTCTTACCCTCTTCTTGTCTTCACTTCATCTGGCCTGACGATAACGACATCATTAACAAGCCGCCACGATACCGCAACCCAGACACCCGCACGAGGCGACCCTCATTGCGCAGCACTGTTTACGCTAGAGCATTTCTTCGCCTATTCTTCCCGCTCTTCTTTTTCTCCTCTTCATACGCTTGGATAGTCTGGTCAAACAATTCAATTTACTGTGCCCCGCTCCATTCTGTCCCGTTTTGACCTTGTTCGACGTCTGCAACTATTCGTTTGTGCGGGGTATATGGCGGTGCATCAGAGTGGGATGCGCTTTCCGTGCTTGAGCTTTGGAGCCGTAATACGTTGCTTCCATATGCAGAGGAAGCCGCGTGCTTGTGGTTGTAATAGTGAGATTGCTCATTGCGGTGTGTGTGCTTATAAAATCGTAGTTTCGTAGGGCGCGTGTGTGTGGTTTGCCCATGCTTATTATTTACAAGGACCCGAGAACGCCACAACGGAAGGCCGTGGAGTCAGTGCGGAAGCTTTGACATCGATGCAGCGCCTCTTGGACAAAGCTGGCCAATGAAAATACTTTGCGCTGCCATAGCTTCCGCAAATGAATATCAGCCAATGATAGACTCAGGCCTTCATATGCAGTACTACGACGTAATACGGGTCGATTAGCAAAGTCTGTTCCGCAGGCCAATAAAGGCTCCCTGTTGGGGTGGCCGTACTTACGAAGGCAGCAATATTGCTATGGTGACTCACCAGCACAGGATCTTATATAGGTGGGAGTCTTCTACCCTTTCGATCTTGGACACAACCAGCAAACGACCCTTTCCAATGGACATGAGCAGCTCAGGCAAAGAGCCACCTGTGGCTCGAGCTATCAAAATCATCCATTACCTCTCCCCGTTCCTTGTTGCATTGTACTATGCTTCTGCAACCTTTTTTGTAGCTTGCACATCGAGAGGTGCTCGATCCCGGGTTAGACGTACACAGAGCAAAGAATCATTTTGGATCTTGCTCGCTGTCACCTTGACATTCGTAAGTCTACTGAGCTGACTTACTTGGGTAGTAACTAATAATCACATCAGGTTGGAGAAGCGGCAGCTAGTGGCGCTCAAAGCTTAGTCCATCGAAGTCCGGTTCCTCAACACCATATGGTGAGTTTCGGTCTTTATGTCCTTTACCATGACCTCCTCTAAGTTTTGCCTCAAGATATACATATCAACCTCGCTCTGTGTTTGGGGATTCATGACAGTATCGTTCTCCTCACCTCCGATGTGGCATGTCTACCTTGGCACCTGGCTCCTCAGTACTGTTCTCGACATAACCCTTTTTGGCCTCTCCGTCACCACCTATGACTGGAATGATCCCTGGAATGTTGCCTTGGCCTCTATCCAGCTCGTCAGGCTTATACTTCTCATCACCTTACTCCTTGCTGTGATTTTCAGGCTCAACACATCCATGGATCTGAAAGACAGCATCGGCGAGGAGAGTCAACCTTTGATGAGGGATGGTTATGATGGAATGGACAGCTCTTCGCAGGCCAACGTCCCATACGGCACCCTTAACTCTTCGTCCACAACGTTAAGCACCGACGACGAAGATGAAGATGAAGATGAAGATGAAGACGATAGGAAGATGCGGAAAATCCAAAAGCGTCGTCTGGAAGAGCAAGGCGGCTGGTGGGGATATCTTAAGGGCTTTAAGATACTCCTTCCGTACATCTGGCCCTCTAACAACCGGCGAATGCAGCTTTGGTTGGTCGTCATGGGTCTATCAATTGCAGCGGAGCGTGTATTCAACGTACTTATCCCTCGGCAAATGGGGATTATTGTCGATGCGCTTGCGAAGACAAGCACAACCGGTAACTCCCTTATAAACAGCTCTTTAGTGCGACACAAGCTAACACTCTTAGGATACTTTCCATGGAAGGAGCTGCTTATTTGGGCCGCGTTACATATAATCAACGTCTCGGCCGGCTATGAACTTTTCAAATCACTGGCCAGCTTCCGCATCTCTTCATATGCCTACAGGCAACTCACAGCGGCAGCTTTCAAACACGTCATGAGCCTCTCAATGGACTACCATACCGGAAAGAGCACCGGGGATCTTTTGAAAGCGATTGAGCAGGGTTCCGACATCAACTCGATCCTGGAAGCATTCCTCTTTCAGGGTGGACCGCTGATAATAGACCTTATTGTTGCGGCTGTCTACCTTTCCTCGGTCTTTGATGTTTACATGGCATTTATTATAGCCATCACCACCGGCTCTTATATCTATCTTGGCATCCAAGGTACAAAATACCTGAACCCTAAAAGACGGGATCACAATGCCAAAAGCCGCAAAGAAAACGAGATTCTTTACGATTCGGTTAGCAACTGGCAGACAGTGTCTTACCACAACCAGCATAAGTTTGAACAGGAGCGATACGCCAAAGCCGTCGAGGCTAACACGACAGCCGACCTTGCGTACTGGGACTCGTTCAGTTACATTGAGTCAGCCCAGTCATTCATCATGATCCTTGGCCTCTTAGTCGCCAGCTTCTTTGCAGCGTCTAGGATCTACACCGGCATAGCGCCCATTGGCGACTTTGTCCTTCTAGTCACGTACTGGAACTCGATCGAGTCGCCGCTCGGAAACCTGATCTTCACCTTCCGGCAAACGGCGTCTCACTTCATCAGCGCGGAGCGACTGCTCGAGCTGCTGCAGACGAAGCCGACAGTAGCGGACAAGACGAACGCCAAGGACCTGGAACTCAAAGACGGGCGCGTCGAGTTCTCGGGCGTGTCGTTCGCGTACGACGCGCGCAAGCCCATCCTCAAGGACTTGAGCGTGGCCGTGGAGCCCGGGCAGACGGTCGCGCTGGTGGGCGAGACGGGAGGCGGCAAGTCGACGACGTTCAAGCTGCTGATGCGCTTCTACGACGTGGCGAGCGGCAGCGTGCGCATCGACGGGCAGGACGTCCGCGACGTCACGCTCAGCAGCGTGCGCGCCGCGTTCGGGGTCGTGCCGCAGGACCCGTCGCTGTTCAATGACACGATCATGAACAACATCCGGTACGCGTGCCCGGGGGCGCCGGACGAGGCCGTCTTCGCCGCGTGCAAGGCCGCCGCCATTCACGACAAGATCCTCTCGTTTGCCGATGGCTATGCGTCGAAGATCGGCGAGCGCGGCGTCCGCCTCAGCGGCGGCGAGCTCCAGCGCGTCGCTATTGCGCAGGTCATCCTGAAGGCGCCGAAGATCGTCTTGCTGGATGAGGCGACTAGCGCTGTTGATTCGAGCACGGAGAAGGAGATCCAGGAGGCTTTTAGACGCTTGAGTAAGGGAAGGACGACGTTTGTTATCGCGCATCGGCTGTCGACGGTTATGCATGCGGATTTGATCCTCGTTATTAATGATGGCCGGATTGTCGAGCGTGGGTCGCATGCTGAGTTGTTGGAGATGAAGGGGGAGTATCATGCGCTGTGGTCGAAGAACACGGGCGATATTTAGGAGGGAGTGGTTGGAAGATGGGCTTTTGGGGTGCGTGCTTGTAGGTTTTGGATGGAATGTTGGAAGTGAAAAATTTTGGTGTTTGGTTTTGGTTGGTCGAAGGTATTGGAGTTCTTGGTCTCTTCGTGTAGTATAGAAGTGTTCATTTGTGTGTTGGTAGGGGATTGCCTATATATATCTCATTCAAGGATGGTTTAAACGACATCAACCAGTTTTCTACTCTTAATACACAGTCCGTTGATTCGAGTTCTCTGCTAAAATAGAAGTAGCTAGAGTTATTCTAGCATTTGAAGAGGATGACCCGTTCAAGGAGGACAGATTCGGAGCACGAAGCGATTCACTGATATCCCACACCGCAAAAAAGCCATTTCCAAACGAACCCTTCTGCTCTATCACGTCCTTCGCACCGAACTCGTCATCCCAGCATCGAACGATGTCTCAGCAAATATTATAGGCACGACGTCAGCCACCGCCGCGATCGCGGCTTAAATAGTGAGCACGCGGCGGCACAAGAACTGGCTTCAGGCCTTTGACGAGCGCAGAAGCTAGATGTCGTCGAAGAGGAGTTAACAATATGCGTCAGAAAAGAAAATAATGCGATACACGGGGGTGGTGTGGAGATTGCGTTAACGACACCAGCAACAATTATAGCAACTCCCCCGAGGCTCCGGGTAGTATGCGTGTGGGTTATCATTTTCCGTTCGTTTGTTCATCTTCACCATTAAATCCAGATGGTCATTGGCATCGTACACAGGCTAGATTCACCAGTGATATATTGGTTAAAGCCAAGCTGTTGGTCAATGGTCAGTGGCGCTGCGGCAGCGGGCGCGACGGACCGCCGTTAGCATTGATGTATTTCTGCCCGGTATGATGTATGGTGTCTTTGTAGCACCACTCGCCGGTTGCTTAGCTAGCTGCTGTTGAGAGAGAGCGAGATGGCTTACTTAACTGCTCCTCGGTATTTCATGGTAGAATTAAGTACTGCTACCGCTGCCTAGTACTAATAAAATACTCAGTAAAGTGTGTTCTTCGCCACGAGTATGCTTTTGCAGTCAGTAAATACCGACGGTGGTGTTTTTCCAGTAGATAGTTCGCCAGTTCGCGGAAGCGTAAGTAGTTTTTCATATATTGCTCTGAATCTCATTTCCGGCTTGGTTTTCTTCTTCTATCTAGGCATCTTCACCAAAAACATAAAGTCGTCGTTTTAGAGAGCCATCTTCGTTGCTATTTATACCCGATATCCCATGCCACTTAAGCCTCCTGACACCTAAGCCTGGGAAATCCGCACCGCGAGAACATTCTACAACGTCGAATTACCCTATTTCACGCTAGGGAGAAGACTTGGTTAAAAGGTATCACTGCCTTGAAGCAAACAAACACTGATAGCTTATAGTTGTCGGAGCGGACGGATCGGCTTTAGAATGCACTAAGCACTAAGCTTCGGCATTATGGGGATTGTGCTAAACAGTCAACAGATAGTAAGAAACTACAGTGCGTCCCAGTGATACAAGAAAACAAAAAACAAATAAAAAAAACAAACAAAGAAAGTCCTCTAAACAAGCTATCCCACCTATGACCAAGACCAAGCTCAACCCCTCGCTCAACGCCGCCTCAAACATTTCCAGCTCCAAACCCGCCGTAGCCTCCGCCCGCGCCTCCACGGAGATGGGCAGTAACTAGGTAACTACGCCGTTAAAGTGGGTGATGGGCAACAAGCCAAGTCAAGCAAGAATACGAAGCCCCGGCTCGGGCCGCAAGCTAGTCAAGCAAGCAACCTAGCAAGTAACCGCGGGCGGCGGCGGCGGGACGAAGCGAAGCCCGAGCCCCGCCGCGGGACCCCCGCCGTAAGCGCAAGCGCCCGCCGAGCATGATTCCACCCGCACAGCAGGCGCTGATCGGCGGGGGGAGCATATATACAAACAGGAGAATCAGGTACCTACGTTTGTAATTACTTCCTGCCGCCGTTCCATACCCCAAACGCTCTTGTGTGCGTCGCCAATCGAAACAGCACGTCCAACTTACCACAAGCCGCGCACAGCATGGCCTTGCCTTCGCCACGCCCCCTCAGCGTCATTATCGTCGGCGCCGGAATCGGCGGCCTAATGGCAGGAATCGGGTTCCGGCAGCAGGGGCACCAAGTCACTGTAAGTAAGGCAGACACCACACCTTCACTCCGTCACTGAGGATATATATTGGTATAGTAGTAGTAGTAGCAGCAGCAGCAGCCTCTAATTAAGTTATTAACGGGCCTTTTCAGATCCTCGAAAAGTCGCATCTGGCCAGCGAAGTCGGCGCCGCGATCCACCTGGCGCCCAACAGCAGCGTGCTGCTCGAGCGAGCCGGGCTGTCACCGAAAGAGTTTGGAGGGACGTTGCTTGAGAGGGTCAGCTTTCTTGCACGGTGACATTTGATATATACATACAGAGCGCACAACGCTGACCTGCAGGCGAGCAGATGGAGAAGCGGACGTCGTCCGACGAGTGCGACTTCGCGCAAGAGTTCGCCGAGGCGCGGAAGGGCTGGCAGGCTGTATGTGTGTGTGTCTGGAAAGCGGAGAGATGATCCCACAGCGCTAACCCGCGGCCTGCCTGTGGTCTAGGAATGGTATCTCGTGCACCGCGTAGACCTGCACAGCGCGCTCAAAGCCGCCGCAACGTCAAGAGGCTCCGACGGCAACGGCAGCCCCGCGCAGCTGCTGACCGGATCCGCGGTCGCGAGCGTCGACGCCGCCACCGCGACCGTGGTGCTGGAAGACGGACGAACGCTCCAGGGGGACGTTGTGCTCGGCGCTGACGGCGTGCACGTTAGTGCTCCCTCCCACCCACCCACCACCTCCCACCGCTACACAGGTAGCTAACGCAACCCGGCTCCAGTCCAAAACCCGGCAGCACGCCGCGCCCGGCGCCCGCCCCGTGCCCTCGGGCAAGAGCTGTTTCCGGTGGCTGCTCCCGCGCGCCGCACTGCGCGCAGACGCGGCAACCAACACAGTGGCCGCGCAAACGGGGACGATGATCGAGTGGGCCAGCGCCGACAGGCGCGTCATCATGTATCCGTGCTCGGGCAACACGCTCATGAACTTCGCGGCGTTTGTGCCGGACGAGGAGGTCGCAGGCGGCGCTGAGGCCGTTGGTGGTGGCAGCTGGAGCCAGACGGCCGACAAGAGCGCCATGCTCGCGTGCTTTAAAGACTTTGCGCCGGGGGTCCAGCGGCTGCTTGAGATGGCGCCGGAGGGAAACTTGAAGGTGTGGCGGATGCTCGATATGCCGGATCTTGGTGGGTGGACGAACGAGCGGTTTGCGCTGCTGGGCGACGCTGCGCATCCGTTTATGCCGTGTGAGATTATAGATCCTGCCTTCCGGGTATGGTGTTGTAACGCTAACGTGAGCAGACTTGGGACAAGGCGGCGCAATCGCCATCGAGGACGCGGCGTCGCTGGCGGCGTTGTTCCCCCTCGGAACGCAGAGGTCAGAGGTCGCGGAGCGGCTGCAGCTGTACGAGACGTGCCGCAAGGAGCGCGCGGACCGCATCCGCCATTTCACGCGGTTGAATGGCAGAGATCCGTCCGGCAAGCAGGGGCCTAGGCCTAGTGGTAAGTGTTGTGTTGCGAGATCGACGTAGTTGTGGACGGACGGGCTTTGCTGATGTTTTGTAGGCGAGGAAGCTATGGCGTTCTTGCGGTACGCTATTTCTCACGACGAGGGGGAGTATTCGTCTAGTATGCTGGAGGAACATCTGCGTGTGAGGTCCAGCTTGTAAGGAAGGGATGGGGGGTGGTAATCCAAGTTGATCGCGCTGGGACGTCAGGTAAATTGTTCGTCCGTGACAGGTTTGTACCAGATTGTGTATATATAATAGTACTGGGTCATCTTTCTTTGAGTAAGGACTGGTGCAATTAAGGACAGAAAATACCAAAATTACTCGAAGAGTTCTTAGATCGTGAAGAGAGTGTTTATCTTAGAAACACACGTAAGAGATAGAAACAGACAAGCCAAAAAGAAACAAAAGAAAAAGACCAAGGTCAGGACAGAAATATTAACTAGAACAAGACATGACAACAGAAGACGTAATAAGTGACCCAAAGCCCCCCCCCCCCACACACACACACTCACCACCCACCCAAGTCTAGCAATTATGCGTCAACCTAAAGCCAAACCCATCCAAATTATTAAACCCCAGCGACCCCACCTTCCCCTCCGCAACATCCATCCTAAATCCCAGACTTGGCTTACACTGTACCGAATTGACGACAATCCTCGTCTCCCTCGCATAATCACTTCGCACATCCGCCGTGCCGATCAAGCTGACCTTGGCCGGGGCATTATTGAACGTATCGCTCGGGCTAACCTCGCGGTCCAGAGAGTAAAAATACGCGCGGCTGTCGCCCGAGTTGTCGACGACGTAGCGTGGCGGGAAGAAGATCTCTAGCTGGCAGCCAAATGCCCCGGCGGGGATGTTGCTGAACTGCACTTCGGTGGAGATGGTCGGGTTTGCCCACGCGTAGCTCACACTGCCAATTGCGAGGTCTGGGTTGCTGCGGTCGAGGCGCGTGAGCAGGGTTGGTGTCTCGATGGCGCAGGCGCGGGGAGTGAGGGCTGCTGCTGGGACGGCGGCGGCGAGGGTGCTGCTTGCGAGCACGAGAGTGCTGAGGAGCGTGGTGGTGGTGTGCATGGTTGTGGTTTTGCGCTGCTGGTTGAGGAGAGGAGAAGGGGAGGGTGTGCTTGCGAGTAGGAATGGATAGATCGGTTTGTAGAGGCGGGCAGGCTCGATGTGCTTGTGATGGACGAAGAGAAGACCCACGCGGACAGCGCAACTTTATATACCCACCGCGACGTCGACACTTCCCGCCATCCATGAGCGCAGTGATGAACAGGGCGGCTCATCCTTGTGAAAACACCCCGTCCCTGCACCCCATCATCCCAGGATGACAGAGTAGCAGTTGCTGGAAAAAATCACCTGTGCCTGGAGACCGACGTCCAACGTGAAAAGTATCCTTCAGAGGCGCAAATTCCTTCTAACGTGAGATGGGAAAGTCGAGAGTCGTGTGATTACTCAAATCCGCCGCCATACCCCGCTAAGCCGCTGTCAGCACGAGTAAAACCCCCCATGCGGGGTTGGTGTAACTGTCTTGAACGCTTCTGGTGATGTTGGATCATGTTGCGTTGAAGTGTCTGGCTGACATGGTGGCGTGCAGGCAGTGTCGTGTCAGCCGCCTCCAGGCTGCAATGGGCCGGCAGTGCTGCCTCGTATGGGAACAAAACGTGACCAATACTCGAGGTAATAATAGCAAAAATTAGTTAGAACACGATAAAGTGGCTTTCGCTGAGCAAGGAAATCATATGTAAACTCATCAATTCATAGTGCTACTTTTAGCCATATTATTATGTGATACAAGGCCACTGCCCAACGCTCAGCATTTGGCCAAATTTTCATCGAAGAAATCGAGAAGTATCAACTACAGCACTTGCTTAACCTCTGAGGTAAGCACGAATGCCCCTCTCGACGACGGCACCGCCGACACCGGCAGCAAGGATGCCCAAGTACCAGGGGTTCGTGACCTCCTTGAGGCTGGGCCAGAAGCTGTTCTTCTCCCGCCTCCATTCTTGGAGCTGTTGGAGCTTGAGAGGGTTCTCCTTGGCGTAGCGCTTCTCCTGGGTCGCTTCGTTTTCCTTGTCACCACCAATGAAGCGCAGGAAGACGTAGTTGGCAACAGGGCCAAGAAGAGCAAGCGGGTGCAGAATGCCAGCACCGTAGAGAAGCAGAGGGAAGGATGCATGGACGAGAGCATCACCAAGGTAGCTGCAGGTTTGTTAGACAAATGTGGATGAACAGAAAGGGGAATGACTTACTTGGGGTGTCTCACGATGCTCCAGACACCTTCGCGGTTGAGGTCATCGCTCTTCTGACGGTGAGACTCAATCTGAGCATCGGCAAGAACCTCGAGGGTAAGACCAGAGGTGAAGAGGAAGATAGCCAAGCTGTGCGCAAGCGTAGCGTAGTCGGGGAGGGGAGACGCAAGGGCATTGCTGACAGGCGCACGGAAAGGAAGCGTGAACGGCAACGCAATGATGGTCTCAATAGCGGCCTCGGGGAGGTACATGCTAAAGAACGCCTTGTTCCAGAAGTTGGGGTCCTGCTTGGCCTCCGTGTAGCGGGGATCGTCCTTGCCGCGAGAAACACCACGAGTAGCAATACGGTAGAAGAGGCGACCACCCCAGGCAGTAACACCGGTGAGGAGGAGCTTTTCGGGGTAGGTCAGAGTCGACCAGGCCGTGGAGAGGGACAGCCCATCGTTGAAAACCCGAGTTCCAATGGCGCTATACCAAGCATTGATGACCTGACCGGAAGGCCAGTACCAGTCCTTGCCCTCAGCACGATCCGTGTACCGAGAGAGGCCGTAAGCGATGACAGAGAGACCCGTCTGAAGGCCGAATGATGGGAGGACAGCTGACTGAAGCAGGCCGACAGAAGTGGCACTGACAGGGTTGACGGGGCGCGTCGAGAAGTGGGAGCCGAGTCTGTCTTGCTCCGCCCCGGAAGGCAGGCTTCCGCGGCTGGACCAGCTCGTGCGGCCCGGGGTAGCTTCGACGGGGTTCTCAGGGCGCCGGCTCCAGTGAGAAGCGTAACGGTCCTGCTCAGCTCCAGAGCCCTCCATATGGGGCCAATGCTTCTTCAGTTCATCCGCAGTCGGACCCTTGCCGCCGAAATAGCCGGCATAGTGGTCTTGTTCAGCACCAGAGCCCTGGGGCATGTGCTTCCTCAGTTCTTCGGCCGACGGGCCCTTGCCGCCGAACCAGCCGCTGTAGTGATCCTGTTCGGCTCCAGAGCCTCTCGGAAGGTGTTCCTGGATCTTATCGGCAGCAGCAGGACCTTTGCCGCCGAACCAACCACCGAAGCGGTCTTGTTCCGCGCCACCAGTGCCCTGGGGGAGATTGTTGTGAATCTTTTCTTGGATCTTGTCGGCAGCAGAAGGGCCTTTGCCGCCAAACCAACCGCCGTAGCGCTCCTGCTCAGCGCCGGAGCCTTGAGGGAGGTTTTCTTGGATCTTCTCGGCAGCGGCAGAGCCCTTACCGGCAAACCAGCCACCGAGACGATCTTGCTCAGCGCCAGAAGCTCTGGGGAGGTGTTCCTGGACCTTCTCAGCAGCCGAGGGGCCTTTGCCGCCAAACCAGCCGCCGAAGCGGTCTTGTTCCGCGCCACCAACGCCCTGGGGGAAGTTCTCGTTGACCTTTTCTTGAATCTTGTCGGCAGCAGAGGGGCCCTTTCCGCCGCCAAACCAACCACCGTAGCGGTCCTGCTCGGCGCCGGAGCCCTTGGGCAGGTTCTGCAGGTTCACCGAAGGCGAGTCCTGCACGGGATTTGAGGGATTGGACCCGAAGTGTGAGCCGTAGCGATCTTGTTCAGCCATGGTGAGATGGATGAAGGGAGGGGGATTGGAGAGAAGAAGCTCGGAAGGGCGGGAAAGGAGGGGTTTTATCACCGTCACACAGATGATTCCATGGCAGGCGCGTCCGATCGAGTGAGCTCTCCGCTTATGACGTATCTTGATGCAATCCGTGCCGCAGGGCTGGGATGCGCTGCAGGGATCAGTGCGGAGAAAGCTCGGTTGCCGCATGCATTCCACGGGCAGTGAGAAGAGGCCGTCAATCCTACAAATCCCTTCCTCAATTGCTCAATTTCAGGAACCCAAAGATTATGTTCAGCAGAAAGCCCGTCACTACTGCGATCTGTCGTCGCCGCGACCACACCCCCTCCTCTCTAAAGCCCCACCCCAGCGCCCCAAGAGGCCAGAAGAATCCCACCACATTGCCGTAGAGCATGTCGTCCAGCCCATTATCATCCGCCCAGCTCGCTGCGCCCCAGCCCCCATCGCCCCCAGCAGTCTCTCCGTCTGCTGTTGCTGTCGTGCCTCCACTGCCCATGCCCTCGTCTAACCACCGGTCCTCGAGAACGCGCTGCTCGGCAACCGAGGGCATTGTATCCGGCGTATGCGTGAAGGAGAGGTTGGCGCGAAACTGCGAGCGGAGAGACGCGACTTCTGCAGCCGTGAAGCCTGTGGAGAGCAGCCTGTCGAAGCCCCGCGGTGCTGCTGTCGTGGATGCGCCCGTCGACAACTTGGGCGCGCCTAACGAGCCTTCTATCTCTGTACCTACTCCTCCTGCGCTTAGAGTAGCATGCGATTGTGATATGGCGGCTTCGAGCGCCGCCTCGGCATTTGCCGCGCTCGTAGCCTCAGCGACCAGGTCAGACGGTGTCAACACATCACCGATGGAGCAGTGTATGTACAGCTTCCTTGGCTCTTGCGCTGCCTCATTGTCCGTGGCTCGCTCCTTTCCCTTGCCTTTGTTCTTGCTTCCATTATCGTCGGACGGTTTCGAACGAGGCGGAGGTGGAGGAGGGAGGCTGAGGCTTGTGGAAAGCGGAGCGGTATCGGCCAAGACCTTGCCGGCATGTATCAAACGGAGGCGGTTAGACGAGTAAGTCGGAGGCAGGTGCGGCCGGATGAGCTGCTTGAGCGAAAGGGCGGTGGTCGTGCGGGTGTTGAAGATGGGCAGAGGCAGGTCCGTAAGAGAGGCCGTAAAGCGGACGATTAGCAAAATCTCAGGCGATAACTCTCCATCCATGATTAACGTAGTGAGTGGATGCTGAACTACTGTCAGCCGGGGTGGTTGAAACACGAGAGGGCAAGCGTGGGTCGATGTGACGGTCCCGATCCGCGGAAAGCGGCCAGGGTCCGACGGACATGCCGAAACGTCATCACGCGGTGTGGGGGGGACCTGCAGCGGAACCCATTATCATCTTTACTAAGCCGACCATATCCTTCGAAGCGGCTCTTCCAGACCCCTCCACTCCAAAGACAATTTTGTGTTATAGCTGCGACCGTCACCATGGCCATCGTTCACGTCGTCTTGTTCCAGTTTAAGCAAACCACCACGCACGACCAGGTTCAAGATGTGAGTTGATTGCATTCTGTACGCAACTCTACATTGTATGCACTTCCAGCTGATCAAAGCAAACACTCAGATCTGTCGCCGATTGGCTGCTTTGAAAGACACCTGCATTCATCCTACCACCAATAAGCCGTATGTCAAGTCTTACGGAGTCGGAAAGAACAACAGCCCCGAGGGCCACGATGTAAATCCCCCTTCTCATATCGCGCATATGCGCTGATCCTAACTCTGTCTCTAGGGTGGCCTAAGCCACGGGCTTGTCGCGGAGTTCGAAAACGAGGAGGATCGGAAGTATTATCTCGAGAAAGATCCGTCGCACTTGGCATTCGTGGCGAGTCTTGACGGTCTGGTCCAGGATGCCCGGGTATTCGATTTTGAGCCTGGAAAGTTTTGATAATGACGACATGGGGTAATCTGAATAATGATGACCGTCCGTTCTACATCTACTTGATATACTTCTTAAGGGCCCTCAAGCGCTCCTGCGCAGTTTCCAACACATCATCGTTCTTGCAAACGGCGAACCGCAGCCAATCTTCCACGATGTGGGCGTTCCCGGGGGTGAAGAACTCCGTCGGCGGGATGGCTGCCACACCGACCTCCTTGATAAGGAACCACGACAGCTTGAAGTCCCGCGGGCGCTCGGCGACGTGAGGGGGAAACTCGTAGTCATCAGGCAGTTGCACCTTGGACATGTTGACCAGGACGAAGTAGCCTCCCTCCGGATCAGAGTACTTTTACAACGTCAGCATTGAAATCTATCGAACAGCATCGGAAGCCACTTACCGGCAGACCAAGTTCATCCCAAATCTTGTTGAACTCGTTCATCTTTCCATGCATCTCGTCCTTTGATTCGTTCCAGAAGTTGTGCTTCTCGGCTTCCTCAAATGCTACAGCAGTCGCCTCCTGCAAAGGACTGACACTGCTGTAGCAAATGCGAGTGTGAGCGGCACTGACATACTTGATCATGTGCTCTGGTCCGATCAACCAACCGACGCGCCAGCCGGTGGCATAGAAGTTCTTTCCACCCGAGCCGACCGTGAGGGTGAGCTTGGCGATCTCAGGCGAAAGCGTCGCTATGCGGGTAAATGGCACATAGTACAGACGGTCGTACACCTCGTCAGAAAGGATGATGATGTTGTTCTTGACACAGAGGTCACCAATAGCTTGCAGTTCCTCCTTAGAGAAGACCTTGCCAATGGGGTTGTGCGGGGTGTTGAGGACAATCATGCGCGTCTTGGGCGTAATGGCAGCCTCGAGCTCCTTCATATCAATAGTCCACTCGGCGGCCGACGTCGACTTAACAGCGCCATCCTTTGGCGGATGCATGGGCACATAGATAACCTTGCCGCCAGGCATCTCGATGTTGGAGATGTACTGGTCGAAGAACGGCTCAAAGACGATGACCTCGTCGCCCTCCTCAATAAATGCCATGAAAGCGCTGAGCATACCTATGGGGAGTCAGCCATGCGTTGCGCTTGGCCTCACGTGTGAACATACCCTCATTGGCGCCAGTCGTGATGGTGATTTCCGTCTCCGAGTTCAAGGTCCGACCGAAGAATGGCGAATAGGCATCCGCAAGCGCCTGCTTTAGGCGTGGGCGACCCTAGAAAGGTCAGCATTTATTGAGCGACACATTCTGTACCTTCGCACCTTGGTAGGAGAGTATTGGTTGCATTCGACGCGGTCCAGCGCGGCCTTTGCGGCGTCGAGGACAAACTGCGGAGGGTTATAGCCGAAGAAACCTTGGCCCATGTTTACGATGGGCTGGATGGGGGAAGCAGCGGCGGCCTCATTGACAATGGACCTATCATCCGTTAGACAAGCTTATGGATATGGACGTCGTACTAACCAGACATCCTGCTTCTGACCCGCGACTCTCTTCGCGGGCTTGAACGGGTCTCTGCGCGCTGGAGTCGCGGACATGGCTCTGGCCAGCGGAGGACAAGGCACCGAAGGAAAACGGAAGATAGGGATTGGGATGGAGCGCGTGGCCGCGAGGGAGGTGAGAGTTTTACGCGACAACAAACTCGTTCTCATGGGGCTGTGGGTTGCGAATGGCACCATCTCTCTCAGCTCTGTCCCTCACCTCGATTACGTGCTGGCGGGGCACGGCCGCACGGACCATGATCGGCTTTTAGCTCTGATAAGGCCGATTATCGGCGCCTTCGCGCTGCCAGTCGCGTTGCCGGAATTCCTTCAACACCAAGACGCGTTCGCAACACTTTCGTTGCGCAACTTTACCACGGTGTCAGGACGTGTCTCAGAGGCTCGCGCACCCGACTCGGGCCGCGCTTGTTTTGTACCGGGGTGTGATGCCGTAAAAGTAGGATCTAGGCTTTGCGTACTGGGCGGATGGGACGTGAGTCTAGGACCGCGCTGCCGTTGAAGGTGACAGGCGTGTGGTGAAGATGGGTACGGTATGGGTATTGAAGTACGACGACTGACGACGTGCAGGGTATGTAAAATAGCCCAGGTAATTTGCCCATTTCTTCTGGGTAGCATTGGATACCGTACTTGCAAAACTATATGCCTTACCCTTTATACTTATACTCTCATGCTTCTTTTTTTT